CCACGAGGGGCGGGCCCCGCCCTTAAAGCGGCCGCCGACCCTAAAGCGCACCGGGGGACACCTCCGCCTCACCCGCTGTCGGGGTGTAAACGCAGACACGCTCCGAACTCCTATTTTCGCCCCAAATTTCGAGGTGACGCACACGCCACCCGTGAAAAAGGAACGCCCCCTCCCAGCCCCATCGGTATGGGGGGCCCTGCCGCTTTAAGAAGAGCCGCCCCGCCCCGCACAAAGATGGCGCCCCCCTCCTTTCCGCCCTCCTCCGCCATGGCGGCGGGCGTGACGCAGCGACGCTGGCCGCCATCCCCCGCCCCAATCGCCCCACCCCGGGGGAGCGCCGCCGCTGATTGGTCCGCTCGGCAGGGCGGTCCGATTGGCAGGCGGTGCGGCGGGCAGGGGGGCCCCGCGCGGGGGAGGCTGGGGTCCCGTCGTGCTCTGCGGCCGCCGCCGCCGCCTCACCCCGGGCGCCGGGCCCGGCCTTGCCAAACCGTGGGTCCGCCCCCGCCCCCGGGTCCCGCTCCGCCTCCCCCGGCGGCTCCTCCCAGCGCGGGCAAGCGGCGGAGGAGGTGGTGGAGGTGGGAGGTTTCCCGCCGAGGCGGCGGGGTGAGGCCTGCGGGAGGGCGGGGGGCTTGAGGCACTGAGGAGAAGCGGGGGCTCTCCCCCGGAGGCGCCGGGAAAGCCGAACCGCAGGGGTCGGTGCTGGGGCTGGGTTTTCCCCCTGGGCGGTGTGTCACCCCCCGGCGGCTCTCGGTTCTCCTTTCCCCGGTCGGTGGGTTCAGGGGAGGGCAGGGGCCCGGCCCGGTCACCGAGTTTCCCTCAGGCGGCGGGGGAGAAGCCGGCGGAGGCTCCGGAAAGATGCAGTTCTTGGGCCGGCTGGTGAACACCATCAACACCGTCACGCATATATTCACGAACCCGTACCGGGTGAAGGAGGTGTCGGCTGCCGAGTACGCGGCTCACACCTGCCTGAGGAAGGAGGGCAGGGTGGCCCTGTATAAGAACAGCCTCGCTCGCTCCTGGGATTGCCTGCTGGTGAATCCCCAGAGCCCGCTGGTCGCTTTCCGGTAAGTGACAGACCTTTTGCAATTGATACTGAAACATGAAGTGAAAGGCCTGAAACCTCCCATCTCAGGGCTGTGTGCTCCCTGGCTGCAGGCGTGGGGTGGTGTGTTTGATCAGTGAGTGGGCTCAGGAGGAGTGGGAGCGGTCCCTGCGTGTGCTGGTGGAGGAGCTGGCATCAGAACAGCTCGCGAGAGCAGGGCAGGACAGGGTCCAAACCCCCTGAAAACAGGCAACTATGAAATAGGTACTTGGGTCGTAATATCCCCAGGTACATGCACTTCCACTCGTACCTATTGCTGCTGTAGCATCTGGAGCACAGGAAGCTTCAGCCCAAAAGGTAATGTTCCTCAGGAAGAGGAGATGCTCTCAGCTAATGAAGTAGGCTCCCTTCTTTCCTTGGAATAAGTATGACACCAAGACAAGGAGGAATAGGAAAGTCCTCAGCATGAATGTTTGGAGAAGAGCTGCGTCTCTCAGATGGGTGGGATGGAGGTTGTTTCTTTGAGTGGCACCAACACCGCGTTTGCCTTTCCTCCAGGCTTTTCCAACTCGACAACGAAGCAGACGCCCTCTTGCTTTTTGAGCAATATGCTGGGAAGCTGCGCCCTTTCTATGAGAGCTTGTGCCAGCCCTTGTCTCTAGAGGATCTCCAGCAGCTCAGTGACTGCTTCCGCAACCACCCCAGCTGGTCCTCGGCACACGTTGCGGTGGAGTTTGGGCGTCGCGAGACCTTCCGGCACAACCACGTTCAGAGGTAAGGGGCAGGAGGGGTCTCCAGTGGGCCTGCTCCTGGGAATGAGCTCGGGAGGACAGCCTAAGCCAGGTTTGGGTGTCCTGGCTTGATGTACCAAAGCAGCGTGGGCTGCTGCCTGGGGGAGCTTGACACCTGTGGTTACTGCAGAGGTTGATTTTAAAAGTGCTGGCCTTGGTGTGTCTTGCCTGAATGACGGATGTGGTAGGAAGGGGGGTCTGGTGTAAGCTTTTGAGCTGCTGCTGTGGATGTTGAAGTGCAGAGCTCTGGTGTTTGAGCTTAAGGGATTGAACTGTTGCTAGAGGCACTAATTAGACTCTTACAGCCCTTGTGGAGCTGCTTTCTGGAGGGGGTTGTGGCTGACTTTGTAAACCATGAGAGGAGGTACATCAGGACTGCCTGGAAGTGGTTTTTGGCCACAAGCTCTTTCCATGGGGAAGTTTGTTGAGGATAGGGAAGACTAGTGAGGAATTAGGGAAGTGGGGGACTAAAGGCAGCACCTCCGCCTGATTGCTGTCTGTAACCTGCCTCCTGCCTGCCTTTGGGCAGAGGGAAGCTGCTCCTGTGGTGGGGGCAGAGGAGGGAGCAGCATGTCAGGGAGAGGGTCTGTGGTGGCCCTTCCCTACGCTTCTTCCCTGGCAAGAGGCTGAGCTTTCATGAACCTTGCGGTTTGCAGCTGCTGGGCCTGTCACAGACATGGAAGGTACCTTCATATCATCTCCCAGGGCAGCTGCACCTCCTCGTCTTGGCAGCCCTTTCTTTGGCCTCACGTTGACTCCTCTCTTGCAGCTGCGTGAACAGCACGGACAGTGAGGATGGCTGCACCCCGCTGCACCTGGCGTGCCGCAAGGGAGACATGGAGTGCCTGCTGGAGCTGCTGGAGTGCCACGCGCGGGTGGACGTCACCGACAGGAACGGGGAGACCGTTTTCCATTACGCTGTGCGAGGGAACAGCCCCCAGATCATCGAGGTGGGAGCGATTTCAAAGCTGGCGGGAAGTGGGACTAGAGCGAGCTGTCTCTATGCTGTGAGGAGGGAGACAGGAAAATAGATGGAGACAGGGGAGAGAAAGTCAGTTCCCTCCACTGCTTCAGGCTGATTTCAGCCTCTTGCTTCCCCCTTTATTGGTGCTGTTTCCCACGAGCAGGCTCCAGATTCCACACTGCAGTGGAAGAAGGATATTGAGCAAGTTTCCTCAGAAAGTCTCTCTCATTGCTATTTGTATCCTGCCTTTCACCAGACTCTTGGCTGTCTCTTCTCCATCTCCTCTTAGCAAGACGTTTGGTTCTGGGCAGAGCGCTCCCATGGGGGGAGTGTGTGTTCAGGCTCCCGTGGGGGAGTGTGTGCTGCCCACAGACTGAAGGGTATTTTGGAGCCACCGTGGTCTCTCCTGAGCCTACGGAACCTGTTTGAACTGAGCAGCCTTGGACAGGGAACGGTGATCAGAGCCTCGAGGCAGAGACAGTCTGAAGCCAAAGGTGTTCTGGATTGCTGAGAAGCACTGGGCAGAGTGACAGGGTTCGTGAGGGCGTGGGTGACATTCCACGTTGGTTCCTCAGGTCTGTCGGCTCCCTAGCACCCAGTGTGAGTGGGAGACCGGCCCTCCCCTGCTGCAGCACCCCCCACATTTGCCCAATACCTGTTGTGACAGCTCTCCCTCTTCCTGCCAGACTGTGTGGGGTTTCCTAAGGAGTGATGGGAGGGGGATGACGATCCGGGCTTGCCATGCTATAGAGCAGGGCAGTTCAGATCTTTGTACTAAAAACATTTTCCTGATGACGACAACTTGGCTTTTAGTTACAAAAATACTTCCCGGTCTGATCTGTCTCCTGTTTCTTTCTTTTCTCTCTTGGTTCTTTGCTAAACCAGAGAAAATCAGCTCTGAATTCCCTCTTCTCTCGTGTGCAGCAGGGCTTGCAGGGTTTCCCCAGTACAGCAGTGGGATATTTTTGTGTAACAAATCAGTCAGCTGGTAACAGATGTCAACTTTACAGGGAGAATAGGAAAATTCCTTCAAACATATCCCCACGTGTATTTTAAAGATAATCCTGTTTGTATCCAAAAGCAGCGGCGGGTGTTGCAGGGGAGGTTGAGCCCCTGCCTGCTGACTGAGCGTGGTAACTGGTGGGGCTGCAGCAGGAAACTACTGGTTTCAGCTGGTGTGCTCATTCGGTTGGGCTGAGCTTCGCTCACAGAGTGTTACTGTTCTGCAGCTGAGGGTGAGAGTCTGCTGGGCTGTGTGGTTCGAGGTTGTGCAAGCCCTTTTTGGCTGAGGGATGTCTCAGAGGCACATGGGCACAGAGACCAGTGATCAACCATCTGGGGAGAGAAAACAAGGAGTGCTTCCTGTGTTGGAAGCAAGGGTAGAGAGTACAGGTTATAGCATTGTGAGGAGCTCCAGAGTCTGTCCTTGGAGCTCAGAGGGGCAGTCAGCACTCTTCCGTGTCCCTCTGTATGTATTTATTTATTGTCTCCTCTTCCCAGCTCCTGGGCAAAACCCCGACTACTGGCTTGGACCACGTGAGCCATGAAGGGATGACTGCTCTGCATCTTGCTTGTCAGCTGGGCAAGGAGGACATGGTCCGGTCTCTGCTGAAAAGCCATGCCAGCTGCAGAGTCATGGGGACGCTGGGCTACCCCATCCACACAGCACTGAAGTTCTCCCAAAAGGGGTAAGGAACTGGCTTGGGCTGCCAGAACAGGGCTCTTCTTCCAGTCTGGGGAACCTGTCTGCTTGGTCAGGGTTGTTCAAGACCGAACCCCTTTCAGGGCAGTGCTCAGTAGGAAGATGTTGTGTGCTGTCCTCTGCTGCATCACCAAGATAGTAAAAGAACAGAGAAGTGCTGGTGTGGAAACGAAGGAAACGCTTTCAGGGGAAAAAAAAAAGTTTTCCCCTGAACTTATGTGTTATTTAGTATCAGACATCAGGAGAAAGACACAGATTTGTTTAAAAAAGTGTTGGTGAAATGCTTTTTCTAGAATGAGCTGTGAGAAGATGATTTACTGATGCATAAATAGTATTGCTAATTGCTGTACCTCTGTCTTTGAGTGCTCTGATCCTAATAAGCTTTCATTTCAAAGCCTAGTTATTCCCGTCTCCTGTGGGCCAAAGGTACTCTTGACTCTTAATAACACTCTCTGGAACTGAATCGAAAGAGGCACGATGTTTACTCCCTGTTTTGTTTTCCCTGGAGAAATTTGGTTCTCTTTGTATGTGCTTTGTAATACTTAATTTTCATAGTGTGTCGGAGCTCTACAAATAGGGCTCTCAAGTCAACACCAGCTGCTGCAGTGTCTTGAAAAGTGCTTTCTAACATTAGAGACACATTCACAAGCCAGAAGTGTACTTCAGTCCCTCAGTTTGCAGTGGGGCTTGATCTCTTGTACATGGTTTATTTGGTGGTGTTTCAGAACGAAGAGCGGTAGGTATAGTCTACCTTCCCACACTTTCTAGGCACTACAATAGGTGTGATTTTTCACTTATAGGGAAATATACGGATTCTTAATTTAAGCAAGTATTTCAGTTTTATCCCCACATTTCTGTGGAGAGATAAAGAGAAGAGAAAAATTTCCCCTCTGGTCCCTCAGATGCCATATTGGAGAAGGACCCAGATGTTGCTCCACAACTTGGAATTGGGAAGGAATTCTCCTGCTTCCTCCGAACACTGTGCTGTTTGTGTGCTTCCTGCTGCGCCCTTCCTTTCTCAAAGGAGCAAAACAAAACTGCAGCTGAGGAGCTTGCAGGTGTTGCAGAGAGAGCCTGCTGCTGCTGCTGAAGGGTTTTCTGAAAGGCTCTGGGTGGGAAGGCAGATACTGATGTGAGTGGAGGTGTGAGTCAAGACGGCAGCCACCCATCCCTTCATCTCCTTGTCTCTGCCAGGTGTGCCCAGGCCATCCTCGAGGTGGATGCCAGCCAGGTTCGCTCCAAGGACCCGCGCTATGAAGCTACTCCGCTGCACTGGGCGAAGAAGCCAGAGGTAAATGGAGCTAATCTGTGGTGAGGGGCTGTGCTGCAACCCACCACCTGGTTAATTCCTCCTGCTGCCGACCTCTCCCTTTCCTGAGCAGAGCCCTGGGGGTGTCAGAGCCCAACCAGCAGCCCGGGGTTTGATTCCCTTTGTCCTGTGATGAGCAGTGCTGTTTGCCACGGGGGATGGAGCAGTGGAGCCTTGCAGGGAAACAAGCTGATGGGCTCATCCCTAGTATGTCATCCTTGGCTGTGAAATGGCCAGCTTGTCCCTTTTCACTTTTTGTTGGGGGAATTGCAGCAGTGTCACTGCTACCCCTGGGGGAAGCTCTCCTCTCATTACTGGCAGTTTCATGGAAGCAAGTAGGTTGATGCCTTGAAAACTGCAGGGAGAGCGTGATTTAGGCACAGGGTGGTGGCATGTAGGTTATGGTCCAGTTTCTGCCAGAGATGGGCAGATCAGTGGTGTGATATGCCGTGCTTGAAGCACCCAAATGGTGCCTGTTGCAAGCAGAGGACATTCCTATGGCTGGACTGATTTCCCTCCTGCAGTACTGCATCCCTCTCAAAAATGTCCTATGGAGTTTTGGAGCAGACATAAATCTGCTTGGCTTCTGAAAAGAAGAATATAAAAAAGCAAACTTTCTCTCCAGTCTGCAAGGATTCTGGCCTGAGTAGGAATTGTTTTTCCTCTCTTGCTCTCATCCAGTTGCTACACTGGCATATAAGTCCCAAAACATGCAGAAGCTCTAGCCAGAATGTGAAACCACCAGCTAGTTCTGTGGTAAAACAGAGAAACCCCATCACCAGTGCTTGGAACAACGCATGTGGCATCTGCCAGCCAGCTGTAACCAGGCTAAGGCTCCCTCCTCTTCCCCTGCTTTGCTTGCCATGAGACCTGGGTTGTTTGAGCACCCAGGCAGTTGTCCTCACGATCGCTTTCTCTGTCTCCTTGACCTGGCACGTGCACGCTTGGGGCACAGATGACACGGCTGCTGCTGGAGTATGGCTCCGAGGTGAATGTGACCAGCCGGACGGCTGACATGGCTCTGCACATCGCAGTGAAGAGGGGACGCTTCGACTGCGCCATGGTGCTGCTGACACACGGGGCACACACCAATGCCAGGGGTCAGGATGGCAACACGCCGCTGCACCTGGCCATGAAGGTGAGATTTCTGGAGCTTCCCAGAGGCTGCTGGAAAGGAGAGAGAGATTTTTCTTGAAGAGTTGAGGCAGGGACAGACTCTATTCAAATTTTAGTTGTAGTCTTTCGTGGGGTGATCCCTTGTGGGGGCTTTAGCTAATGAAAGGAGGAGGGAGGGAATGAGAGATGCTGTAGTCAAAGGGAGCGTGGCTCTTTGAGCTTTCTCTTGTCCCCCTAGCATGACCACCTGGATATGATCAAAGCCATCGTCGTGTTTGGAGGAGATGTCGAGATCCCCAATGATTTCGGGGAGACACCGGGGCTGTTGGCAGCCAGGAGCAGCAAAGGTGAGGGAGCACGTCAGCAGCCTTGCAGTGTGAACCCAGCATCCTGTCTCCCCTTGGTGGCCAAAACAGTGTCTTGGTGAAAACATGCCAAGCATGGGCGATGCTTCTCCAGCATGCTTTCCCAGCTTCTAGTTGCTCACAGGGTAGGCGCTTCCTGAGCTAGTGGCGTAGGCTTTGTATTAATAGCCCTTGACGAATGAATTTCTCTTCTATGAGACAGAGATGCAAGAGGAAAAGCTGGCACGCACTCCCCCTCTTTCAGGCCACAGTGTCGGGCACTGCGGGCTCACAACGGGACGGTGCAGTGCTGCTGAATCGCCCAGGCATAAGCAGACACAGGCCGGTTCTTCAGTGGCAAGAAGCATGTGGCACACACCCTTGAAGCAGCACAGCACTGGGTACCCCTGCCGTGCACAAGCCCTGCTGCTTGGTCTTAGGGGAGAGATACCCAAGACATGCTTTCCCCTTCCCCCAGGTCATCCCGGAGGTTGCACGAGGGTTGAGGCTGCTGTGGATTTAGCAGGGTGCCCCCCCCAGTGTGTGCGTGCACTGATTCTCTTTCTGATCTGTGACTCCCCCTTCGTCACCTAAGGTGCGAACCGGAAAGTGCTCTTAGACCTGCTGCAAACCGTAGGGACCGAACGCTGCCACCCACCCAACCCTGACTCCCCCAGCCTGCCACCATCTGCCGCCTTATTCCTGGAAGGCCCACCTTCCTCGCGGAGCAGCTTCGACAGCTTAGGTAAAGCCTTCCCTGGCCCTCTGTTGCTCTCCTCCCTTCTTGCTGTCTCGGATCTCTTCTTCAGATGGGCCGTGCTCTGGGGACAGTCTCCTGTCTCTCTATTTCTGGTGACTCTGTCCTTGTTCAGCTGTTGCAGGATCTTGTCACTTTTCTCTGTTTCTTCTGTGTGTGTACTCTAGACTCTTGCACCGTAAACTTCTGTTTTATAGACCTGACGCAATGCAGCTCTGTTAAAAAGGAAAGGGATGACTGATTCCCTCATCCCTCTGGAAGAGGTGTAGGACTTAGTTGCCTGCATGTACTTTATCCACTGGGTCATGTGCAGAAGGGGAGATGCTTGCTGGTCTGCCTTGAGGACTTCCCAGTGTCACGCTGGTCACAAGGAAATAAGAAGTGTCACTTGTTCAGATCCTGGAGGCCAGCAGCTGGGAGAGAGAAGGGATGAAGCCCAAGGATAAGTGACTTTGGTCACAAAGGTTTATGTTATGCACAGGATGAGCCAAACTTGGTGTACATGATTGTGTTGTAGCTTGTGCTCTGTACTGCACAGTGTGTGTGAATAACCCTGTGGATCTATACTAGGTTCTTGGCTTTCCTCCTCCAGGGAGCTCTGGATCTCGGGCAGAGGCAGCATGAGGGGTTATGGAGTGGGCAGTGGGTGAGTTGGCTCAGAGGGAGGCTTTGACCCTCGTGAGGGGTGTGCGGGCAGGTGACAGCCTCTTGGGGTCCAATTTTCCTCTCAGGTTGGTGGTTTCCTTTGCAAAGGCCCTCTTGTGGGGAGGCCAGAGGACAACACCCTCTCACACCCTGGAGTGTGTCTGTGTCACCACAAATGTCACTGGCTGGTGACACCAGGACTTTGGTCTCATTATGGCCTTGTGGAAGCCTCAGGTTTCAGTTCTGATGCAGTGACAGAGCAAGGAAGTCCCTTTTTCATCCTGGACTGTGGCCTTTGAAGAAACTCCTCACCGTGTTTGTTGTTACACACAGCCCCATTCTGGCCTGGGCACTGACGGGAGTATTTAACTTCTCTTCCCCCCTGTTCTTCTTTTGGTTTCACAGGCTGGCTTCTCATCTAGGCTGGATTGGTGCCCCACACCCAGGGTGGCCTGGGTGTACGTCAGCTGAGTGGTAACGACAAGCCACCCTGTCCCCACGGCTCTCCTGCCTAGGTTACCTTGCAGGAGTAGATTTAGGTTTTATCTTATGGCTTGCGGTAAACTCCGTAGTGGGCACGCTGCTAGGCCCTGCCTTCTCTCTTGCCTACTGTGCTCATCATCTGCTTCTATAAATCCTTCGTCTTTGCCCGTGCATCTCCAGCTGCCTGCTCTAAAGGAGGGGGTTTCTCCTCTTTGGTGTGGAGTTTAATCTGGGGAGGGGGTACCTGGTGGCTGTGGGTAAAATGGCTTGTGTCTCCTGCAGGGAGCTTTATTCCAATGGGAAGGGAGTTGGATGTTCTTTGTGTGATTATGGTGGAAATGCTTTCCGGCAGAGGTGGGAGGTTTGGGTACCTTGACCAAGCTTTCTGGGGGCAGAGAGAAAGTAGGAAGAATAATTGAAGATTTTGTAATTGATTAAGTATAATTTGGTTGACTAGTATCTCTGAGGCACCTATCAGAGGGTTCAAGTAGCAAAGTGGTTTCTAATTTTTTTCTCCTTCTGCATGTTCCTGGCCCTCTAGGATACAAGGACCTTCTGTATGTTTCCACAGCGCTTGGACAGTTTTTGAAGGCACCAGATGCTGTGGACTCACCCAGTGACGGTAGAAGAAAGTGAGTACCAGCTTCTGTCTGGGGTCCTGTGCAACTTGAAGGTGAAAGCCATGTGTGTGAGTTCTCCCCACCCACACCTGTGTGTGTGACATCCTCAGAGCTGACGTTATTTAGCATCCATTGACCTTGCAATTTTTCCAGAACCTTGTACCGGCTCCTGCCTGCAGCCTTGGAGCTGCAGTGGAGCCCAAGCTCAGCAGGTGAAACCCCTGCTCTGTCCTTCCCTTCTGCTGCTGGGCACGAAATGCTGTTTTGACTTTATGATATCTCCATCTCCACACGCTGCCCTGACGCTCACCCACCTCATTTTCCAGGCCGTGCACTGCCTTGGCAGTGCCTACACCTCACCTTGCATGGAGCAGTTGGCACTGAAGTGCTGCTAGCAGGATCTTAGGGGTGTCTGCTTTTAAATTATGATACAGTATAAACTACTGCATTGTAAGGGACTTGGATGTGATTTTGGCTTGTGAATGTCTCTCTGGTATAGAGGTTGGAGACGGCTAAATGAGCGAATGGTGTTGCACAAGCTCTGATGAGGTATATCTGGCCAGAAAATGGCTTGTGTCTCCTGCAGGGAGCTTTATTCCAATGGGAAGGGAGTTGGATGTTCTTTGTGTGATTATGGTGGAAATGCTTTCCGGCAGAGGTGGGAGGTTTGGGTACCTTGACCAAGCTTTCTGGGGGCAGAGAGAAAGTAGGAAGAATAATTGAAGATTTTGTAATTGATTAAGTATAATTTGGTTGACTAGTATCTCTGAGGCACCTATCAGAGGGTTCAAGTAGCAAAGTGGTTTCTAATTTTTTTCTCCTTCTGCATGTTCCTGGCCCTCTAGGATACAAGGACCTTCTGTATGTTTCCACAGCGCTTGGACAGTTTTTGAAGGCACCAGATGCTGTGGACTCACCCAGTGACGGTAGAAGAAAGTGAGTACCAGCTTCTGTCTGGGGTCCTGTGCAACTTGAAGGTGAAAGCCATGTGTGTGAGTTCTCCCCACCCACACCTGTGTGTGTGACATCCTCAGAGCTGACGTTATTTAGCATCCATTGACCTTGCAATTTTTCCAGAACCTTGTACCGGCTCCTGCCTGCAGCCTTGGAGCTGCAGTGGAGCCCAAGCTCAGCAGGTGAAACCCCTGCTCTGTCCTTCCCTTCTGCTGCTGGGCACGAAATGCTGTTTTGACTTTATGATATCTCCATCTCCACACGCTGCCCTGACGCTCACCCACCTCATTTTCCAGGCCGTGCACTGCCTTGGCAGTGCCTACACCTCACCTTGCATGGAGCAGTTGGCACTGAAGTGCTGCTAGCAGGATCTTAGGGGTGTCTGCTTTTAAATTATGATACAGTATAAACTACTGCATTGTAAGGGACTTGGATGTGATTTTGGCTTGTGAATGTCTCTCTGGTATAGAGGTTGGAGACGGCTAAATGAGCGAATGGTGTTGCACAAGCTCTGATGAGGTATATCTGGCCAGGTCACAGAATCACACGGAGTTGGAAGGGACCTCTGGAGATCATCTAGTCCAACCCCCCTGCCAAAGCAGGTCCACCCAGAGCAGGTTGCACAGGAACGTATCCAGGCGGATTTGAATGTCTCCAGAGAAGGAGACTCCACCGCCTCCCTGAGCAGCCTATTCCAGGGCTCTGCCACCCTCAAAGTAAAGAAGTTCCTCCACATGTTTAGGTGGAACTTCCAGTCTATTTGCATCTGAGGAAGTAACAGTGCTTACTGACTACTCTGTCCCAGCAGCGTTCTTGTTACTCTGGCATTTGTAAGCTGTCCCACAGCTCCCAGTCATCTGTGTGTCTCTGTCTCTCCAGTCACGACCGCCTCCTGTGCCTGGATGGAGGGGGCATCCGGGGACTGGTGCTCATCCAGCTCCTCCTGGCTATCGAAAAGGCTGCGGGCCGCCCCATCCGTGAGATTTTTGACTGGATCGCGGGGACCAGCACTGGGGGAATCTTGGCCTTGGCTATTGTACACGGTGAGGACAGTGCAAATAATGGGTCCCTTCTCGCTCCTGTGGGCTCAAGTGCTCCTCTATGGGGAGCAGATGTGGGGTGGGAGCTGCCTCTCTGAGTCCTGACCGGGGTTTGTTGTCCCTGCCAAAGGAGGGAAGGGATGCTTGTTAATGAAGGAAAGCTCAAACCTGGCTTTGTGCTTGCTTCTCACATCAGCTGGCCTTGAGCAGCTTTCAGGGTTTTGGGAAGCACGTGATGGCAGAGTGCAATGTCCTGTTCTTCCTTCCTCTCTCCATGGGGGCTTTACAGCAAAGTGATCAGCACTTTCTGGTAGTGGGAAACTGCGCTCCATGTTTGCCTTTCCTCTTTAATCCTTCCTAGTCTTGCTGCTGAGGTCTGAGCAGACACCAGGCAGGCTGGGAAGGGGGTGGTATTGGGAATGACCCTCCCATCTCCCGCTGGTCCTGGAGAGTCCTGTTTCTGATGTGCTGTTTGTTCTGCCTGCCCTTCCTCCCATTGCCTGCTCCTGCTGATGCTGTTGCCCATCTCAGGGAAGTCCATGGACTACATGCGCTGCCTGTACTTCCGCATGAAGGACATGGTGTTCCGGGGTTCTCGGCCCTACGAGTCGGAGCCCCTGGATGAGTTCTTGAAGAAGGAGTTTGGGGAAAACACCAAAATGACAGATGTCCGAAAACCCAAGTAAGTCCTGGCTGGGGGTGCACTGGTTGATGCTCTCCTGAGTATACTCGAGAACCCTCAGCAGAGAAGCTCAGCCTCTCCTTAGAGCAGGTCTGGAGTGCGATGTGGAGACTATTGAAGCCTTAAGTATGTTTTTTTCCCATTTTACGCATTCTGTCATGTCTTCTTCCCCAGGGTTATGGTGACGGGGACATTGTGTGACCGGCAGCCAGCTGAGCTCCACCTTTTCCGGAATTACCCTGTACCAGAGACAAAAACCTCCACTGAATACAAGACAAGCGCATCTTTCAAACCACTCACTCAGCCAGAAGGTAAATGTTGGCACACAGCAGTCCAGTTGGTTGGCAGAGGAGGGGGACATCCCTCAGAGATGGAAAATTTCCTTTTCTTCCTTCCATTGCTCTGAAAATTGGGGTGTCCCATCAATGGCTTATCCCTCATCTTGACTTGTAGCTTGATCTTAGTGATAGTTCCCTTTTCTCTTCTCTCCTTCTCCCTTGGCTTCTCTCGTACCAGGAACAGACTGGCTAGTGAGGATCATGAGAAAGGGGTCTGTTAGAGGAGTCCTGCCTACAGTCAGGACCTTTCCCTCAGGGGCAGATTAACATGGAAAAGCTGTGTAACTGAAGCTTGCAGCTTCCTCCAGCTTGCTGCTTTCTTTGTCTAGCAAACGTAACTGGCTTGCCATCAAAATAGCAGCGATGAAGCTGGTAGAGAGCAAATTTGACCCAGGATATGTAGAAAGTGGTGAGAACATCTATTAAAGCCCCCCAAAATAAACCCGTGCATCCAAGGAGAGGACCTTACTGTTGGGAGAAGGAGGCGCAACCGTCTAGGGTAGGGTCTTCTGGGATTGCAAGCCCTTCTGCTCCGTGTTGGTGAAGGTGGGGGTGCCTCTCACACATAGGAGAGTTGCTGCAAGAGGCCGTTTGCTTTCTTTTCCTCCAGACCAACTCGTGTGGCGTGCTGCCCGCTGCAGCGGCGCCGCTCCCACTTATTTCCGGCCCATAGGCCGCTTTCTGGATGGCGGGCTGCTGGCCAACAACCCGACCCTCGATGCCATGGCGGAGATCCACGAGTACAACAAGACGCTGATCAAAAAGGTGAGGGCAAAATCCTGGTACTGCCTGGTAGCTGAGGCTTTATTGGCTCCACTGAGCCTCCCTTGAAGGGGAAGAGGGTTTGGGAATGGGTGCCTCTCTAGTGGATAAACAAGTTAGCAGTGCAGCACCCGAGAAGGGAGTGTGTGGAGGGGAGATATGTGTTGGGAATGGTGGCTGAGAGGTGAAATACCTCTCCTGACAAGGGTGTGAGACGGGGAGGCAGCCCCATCAGCCTGTCCTTGCTGCTTTGAGCAATGATGATTCAGTTGATGGTTGTGTGTAGCCCTTGACACGGCTCTGCGTGACCTTTTCCTGCCCAAAAATAAATGGAGAAGACAACAGTAGGGCACTCTGCAAGGCTGAAGAGTGAATCCCTTCTGTGGTGTGGCAAGTTCCTCAGAGAGATGGCTAACTACTGGCAGCTACTACTCCCTGTAGCTGAAAGGGGAGGTGTGTTGCCAAAATGAGTGGAAGAGTTGGACTGTTTCACAGTCACCTGGTCCTAGGCCTCATCTTTGGGGTGATCCCATGGGTTTGGAGGCAGCCAGGGGTGTAAGGGACAGAACAATGCAACTGTTAAAGTCACGTGGATTATACCTGTCTCACCAGGCGCCACTAAAAGGGGAGGATGGGGAGGAGAAATGGCTACCTGGCCTCTTGTCTTGGCTTTCAGAGCTTACCTCGAGACTCTGAAAGACATGCTCTGCCTTGAGTGTTGGTCTTTGCAAACAAATCTTTTGTTTCTCCACAGGGTCAGAGGCAGGAAGTAAGAAAATTGGGGTTGGTGGTCTCCCTGGGGACAGGGAAGCCTCCGCAGGTCCCGGTGAGCTCTGTGGATGTTTTTCGTCCCTCCAACCCTTGGGAGCTGGCGAAGACAGTCTTTGGGGCCAGGGAGCTTGGCAAGATGGTGGTGGATTGTGTGAGTACTGGGAGGAGGGAATGAGGGAAGACCCCTGGGGTTGCTTGCAGGGAGGGAGCAAAGTTTTCCAGTCTTCAGCTTCTTCCTTTTAGGAGAAAATGGTACTTCCTTGGAACTGCTCTGACCATGGCCAGTTCAAGGAGTGGATGTAGTGGGTAACCTAAGAATTGCAGGAGCACAGCAGGTCCAAAGCCCTGAATGCCTCCGTTGGGTTTCAAGTGCCAAGGGAGGTGCAGTTCCTGTGGCTGTAAGGAGCTACGGTGTGGGAGAGCCAAGGACAGGATGGTGGTCAGTGACCCCTAGGAGCATTTGGAGGTGTGAGTTTGTGAAACTCTTTATCTTTCCAGGGAGCATTGATTATCATCTGAGCAACCTGGAAAAAAAAAAATCAAGCCTCAGGAAACAGCAGTTAATTTTTCTTTAGAAAATCTTTGCTATCCCCATGGGGGAAATTAGCAAATGCTAGGGAAGTGGGAGCATCACTAATAAAAAGCAGTAGTTCAGAGCTGTGGTTAGGAGTGTGTGATAGTTCTTGGATGCTTCAGAAAGAAGCTCGTTAAATATAGTATGTGAAACACTCTGAATGAATGAAAGCCAGAAAGGTTTTGACTATGATCTCAGTTCTGTTGCTTTGTCTCCTCTTGGCTTCCTAAACCCCAGAAAATGCCCAGAGAGGTCCCTCTGCTTCTCCTGTCTTTTATTTCAGGGCTCCCAAGGAAGCTCTCCCAGGATAGCCCAGAAAGCCCGCAGTGTCACAGGCTCTGCTGGTACTGGGCTTGGGCAGAAATGGGTAGAGATGAAATCCCAAGGAGGCTGTGAATCAGATCATCCTGGAGATTTTGAGGGAGTCCGCTCAGTGCTGTGATGGATGGAGGATCTGTAGGGTGAAATTCCTTGTGTCCCAGGGATCAGGAGCACTGTTCTTATATTAAAAATAACAACCAAAAAGCCACCCCATTCCTGGTGGTGAGCATTGCCATCCGGGATGCCACTTGCTCCTGGTTTTCCCTCTCCCTCTGCGGCTTGCGCAAGTTGGAGTTGGTGCCAGGGGAGCCTCTCGGAGGCAGGGGGGCCTGGGGGGAGCAGTGTGACAGTCAGGCTCTAACTCGGGGCCTGTTTCTCCTGCAGTGCACTGACGCAGATGGCCCAGCTGTGGATCGTGCCAGGGCCTGGTGCGAGATGACGGATGTCCCATATTTCCGGTAGGAGCTTCCTTTCCGCTCTCTGCACAGACCTATTTTTATCCCGCTCACTTCAGACCTGGCTGCGGCATGTGTCATGCGTCATCCCAAAGAGTGTCCTCTCCAGCAGCACGCCTGCCCAGGCCTCTCATAGAATCATAGAACGGTTGGGGTTGGAAGGGACCTTGAAGATCATCTAGTTCCAGCCCCCCTGCCATGGGCAGGGACACCTCTCACTGTCCCCCTGCCCCCTCTCCTCACACCCTGGTCACACATTGGAGGGTGCCATGGCCCAGTGGTGGATTGAGCACACCTTGTCTGGGGTCAGTCAGTGGGGGCTCTGGGGATGCTAAGAGGGTCCTTAGGAGATGTGCATTCTGCCCTGTTCCACCATGCACAGCATGGTTTGAGGCTCACGCCTTAATTGGGTGGTGCTGTTGCTGAACTGTGGCTGGGCTTTGCAGGAGGGGGAAGGCCTCCCACTCTGCAAGCCTGCTAGGTGAGGACAGGTGAACACCCAGCACAGTGGGAGCCACTTTGCACAAGTCTTGTGCTTATCAGGCTCCCTGCCTTGTTGCATCCACCTCTGTGACCAGCTGGTGATGCTCTCTTGCCGTACGCAGGCTCAGCCCTCAGTTGCACACGGAGGTGATGCTGGATGAGGTGAATGACACCGTGCTGGTGAACGCTCTCTGGGATACCCAGCTTTACATCTACCAGCAGCGGGAGCAGTTTGAGCAGCTGGTGCAACATCTCTGCCGATGACTGACCTGGAGGTTCCTGTTCAGCATCCCCATGGCAAGGAGCAGGAGACGCTGAAATGGCTTGGATTTGCCCTTGAAGCAAGATGTTGAGGTGGGGGAGGGACTACTACTACTGCTACTAATGAGGAATTAATGATATTTAATAGACGACAGCACACATACGCACATATTCCAGGGCACACCCATATATTCCCAGACAGCTGTGAAATGCCGACAGATGTTTTCATACTGTAGCCCCATCTCTGCTGCTGTGCTTGGTTTTGCTGCCCTGCTTTCTGACCGTACAGCCCCTCCCAGAAGCCAGAGCCCCCACCTACCTCTCTTGAGCTGTAGCAGATGGAGTGTGTCTCCTGCCTGTGCAGCACCTCCACTGACAAAGCACCGTGCACCTTCTCACGTCACAGAATGGGCCCAGGCCAGGTAAAGCTTCAGAGGTGACTTGACCCGCTGGGGCCAAGGTGTTTCAAAGTGTGTAGCACAGGGAAAAGGGATTATTCTTCCCTCAACATGCCCAGTTTGAAGGGGAGCAGAAATGCTGCAACTTTTCCACAGTAGATGTGACGCAGAATGTTGCGACTGGCCTTGGGAGAAGGGGGAACCTTTCCTGAACTTTGTCTTCTGTAGCACCTTCCCCGTTCCCTTCCGAGATGGGCTGGCGACACAGGTACAGACTGCGCCCAGGGTGAGAGCAAACCCCCCCCAGAGACTGTTTTGTGCCTCCTGACTTGCTGTGCTGCTTTTTGCTCAAGGGCTGAGATGTGAAAGCCCATCTTTATGCACAGCAAGCTCAAGATGAGGGACCTGCCAAGCCTTGGCTTGGTAGAGGTACTGTTTCTCTTAATGTGAAATTGACATGCTCTGAAATCAGTTCCCACCAAAGAAGCTGACCCTGTGACAATTTGGATTTACCTTTTTACCTCTGGAAATCCCCTTGTGAATGCTGCACTCTTCAATGTTTCTGCAGTAAATTTTGCATATTTATAAATAATTTATGTATCTATTTGGAGGTGTTTTGAGGAATAACCTGGAAAACTGAATTCTTAATTGTTTGCTTTTGACTGGATGGACTGCTGTTGTGAACAGCGCTTCTATGCAAGACTAACATGACCTGAAATAAAGAGGGGGTTGGCTTTGGTTCCACTGTCATGCAGTCCGTGGTTGTCTTGTCTCTCTCTGCCTCCATCCTGCAAAGTCCCAGAAGGGTTCTGAGCTCGCAGCCTCTCAATTTCTTGCAGGTAGAAAATCAGGAATAGGGCTCCTTGAGATGCAGGATTATATCCTTTGTATGGGCTGAAGAGGTGAATGACCTGTGCCTGCCTGCAGCCAGCCCTGGGAGCACATGTGTGGCGCCCACCGATTCCTAAGGGACACCCCTGGCAGGAGTGTGGGTGCTGAGTCCTGAATAGGGCTAAAAACTGATTATCTGCCTTCTGATCTTCACTTTCACAAATGAGATTGTAGAATTAAGGGGCCTTTTATTGTGGGGTAAAGGTTTTCTTTTTCCTACGTAATGGAGGGGCTTACCTTCCTGTGGAAAATCATCCCCCCCCTCCTCCCCAATGTCTCGGGATGGAGAGAACATGAACCCCCTTCTGCTTTTTGCCCCAGGGTGGGTTGCATTCTCCCCTTCTCTCTATAAGCCTGTACCCTCTGCAGGGACTTCCCAGAGCAACGCTGTGCTCGGGCTCCTTGCCCACAGGCTGGGAGAGCTGGAGGGTTCAGGCACAAGCCTGTGCCTGCTGTTGGGGGGTCACATTGAGACCAGGAGGGTGGCCAAGAGCCGCAGCGCTGAGTCCTGGCGTGGGGGAATAGTGGGCAGGGAAGGGGTGAAACCCGTTTTGAGCTTTCCTTAAGTTCGTTTCCCCCCCCCCCAAGTTATTTGCTGCCTGTGATCACAAGCTGATAGGGATCTCCCGACTGGCCTGGTGGTGTGAGGGACCTGAAGATGCTGTGCCAGCGCCGTGAGGCTGAGCCAGCCACCTCCCAGCGGCGGCCGTGAGGAGGCAGCGGGCCATAAGGCGGTGGCTCTGGCAGGTGGCTGGCTCCGCAGGTGTCGGGGCAGGGCGAGCTGGGTACCGAGCTGGCAATCAATAATTCAAGGAGGCGGTCACATGCCCTTGCTGGCTGTTGCAGGATTCCTCTCTTCCCAGAGTCCGGTTACTTCCAGAGATCAAGTTCCAGCCTCTTGGCTGGTGAATTATTAAACTCCAGCAGTGCTCCATTCCCTTTGTACCACGTCTGTGTCTTCCTGCTGTCCAACCTTGCCAGCGACAAGGCTCTTTCCACCCAGCCAGTTCTGCAGAAGCAGGGTCCTCCAGGTCACCTCATATAGCACTTTGTGCTCCCCTTTGCTCCTTGCTTCTCCGTGGGAGAGGGGAAAAGCTCTGGAGATGGAGCCGTCCTACAGATCCACCATCTCCATCTATAAGGTGAGTGCTGACACCAGAGGCTGCTTCTGTTTGCCTGGGGGGGATGTGTGGGTGGGAGGAGAACTCTTTTCTGCCAAAGGCTCCCTTGAAGGGCAGACAGCCGAGGGCTGGATCCCTCCCCAGGCTGAACTGCAGCAGCTCCTGTAGGACCTGAGCGGTGTTTGAGAGCTGGCAGAAGGGGAGGGTGGTGCGGGTCTTAAGGCAGATCTGGGAAGGAGCTGGGCGACCAGGATGGTTTGAACGAAACATGTTTATGAAGGCTGACAAGCCTTCGTTGCTGGTAGGAAGCTGGAGCTGTGTCAGCTCTTTTCCCCTTTGCTGGAGAGCGCGGTCTGATCTCACGAACACTTCCCTATGCTCATCAGCGCTGCACCAGGGTGGCGAGGGCTGGGAGAAAAGGGAATTGCTGCTCTCTACCCTCTGCTCTGCTCTGCTGTAGGCAATGAACACCTTTGATACCTACAGCAGGTGAGAGCGGGGAGGCTGGTCTGAAGCAGTCCATCCCTTCTCTAAGCTGCCGAGTCTGGCAGCGCACCACAGCCTGGCCAGGACAAAGTCGTGTTCATACCTGGATAATAAGCAGTGGCCCTCACCCCAACCAGCTCAGGGATGAGGGAAAAGGCTGCTCAGATGCCCTTGCAGTTACCCCCCTGTTTGCAGTGGGTGTGGGGCCTCAGGAGACAGCCATCTTCAGGCGACCTGCTTGGCTTTCCAGGGAGCTACCTTGCCCTCTGGCACTGCTCCTCTGCAGTTCCCTCCGATGGAGGGAGCTGACTTTGTGCACGACGTCGTGGCTGGGGGAACTCTCTGGGTCCCTGCTGAACCCAGCCAAACCGCAGTGTGAAGGCATCGACCTGCTGAGGTCTCTGGGGCACAGGGAAGACTGGCGTTAACCTGCTTCTGCCCTGGCCACAGAGTATCCTGGAGCAGTTCAACCCCGCGCTGGAGAACCTGGTGTACCTGGGAAACAACTACCTGCGTGCCTTTCATGGTGAGTGGGGTCCCACATGGCACGGGCACCAGACTGTGCTCCTGTGTCTGTCCTGGGTATCCTCTGTGCCCTCACCCAGGACAAGGCTGCTGGTCCCCTCCTCTAACATGTCCTGAGCTGCTTTTGGGCACTCTTGTCCTGCTCCAGGACCCACTGCTGTTATTTGGCACAGTTGAGGAGAAAGAGGGTGCCCTTTCCTATAGGTGGGGTGCCAGAGGGTGGCTGTCCTGTCTGCTGCTTTCTGGGGCTGGTGATGGTGGGACGCAGGCCAGGTCCTTACCTCCCCTCCTCTCCTCTCCTCTCCTCACAGCATTGTCCAAAGCGGCTGAAGTGTATTTTAAGGCAATTGAGAAGATTGGGGAGCAAGCGCTGCAGAGCTCCACCTCACGCATGCTGGGTAAGGCTCTCCCACTCACCATCCTCCATCCTCTGATGAGCCACAGTTATGGTTTTTTTGGCCTTCCCCCTTAGCTAGTCTCTTTCCAGGCACCGGGGGAAGGAAACAGCTCCTTTAAATGATGTCTTACAGCACCAGGCCCTCTCCAGGCAGTAAGAGTCAAATTTATTGTGCATCCTTGAATATCCCCCAAGGCCCCAACACTCTCCCCTGCATCTCTCTGAGATCAATGAGTGAGCCCAGCTCCTGCAATGGACCTCTCAGGGAAACCAGTCCTTGCTGAAGGCATTCCGCCCTGAGATTTGAAGTTTTCATCTTGGAGGAACCATTTTGCTCCTCCTTGCAGGTGTGAGGGAAAAGTTAAAGAGCATGGACTGACAGCAGCTGATGGGGTGTTGTCTCCCTGAGCCCACAGCCAGCTGAAACGGCAGTTCGGAGCTGAGGGGCTTACACTCCGCAGCTCAAATAATTCTGCAGCCTAGTGCTGGTGGCTGCAAGTATGCTCAGGGAACTGCTCTGATACTTAGCATTTAAGTAAAAAACTTCCAGCAGACGTGTCCCTTCTGCAGAGTCCTACCACCGTCTGCACCGCCCAGCTCACTCTTCTGCTCCCTGTCATCGGTCTCTTCCCTTCATGGTTTCATACTGCCAACACCGGTGAAGTGGGACCCCACTGAGTGTTGGCAGCGGGTGCTGTAGCTGCTTTCCTGTAGGACAGCCAGAACCATGCACTGTAGCTGGGGTGACATTAGGAGTGGAAATGGGGCTTGTAGGGGCTGTGGCAGAACAGAAACCCACCGCCCGGAGCCCATGGCAGAGACAAAGCTGCCTGCTGGCACCTGGGGCTGTAGCAGAGCGCTGGTCTGGCAGCTCCATGGGCTGGAGAAATCCTGTGTTGGCAGCGCCTGGGGGGTGATGGTGGAGCTGAGCCCTGGGGAGCAAGGCTACCAGCCTCTCTCAGGGTGCAGAGAGCATTGCGGTGCGATATCTGGTGGACTTTCACACCCATATATCATCAGCCTGAGTCGTGTGCCTCCTCGGGGGCAAGGAAATGGCCGTGGGGTTTTTCTACCCTCTCCTGTCTCTTTCCCTGCAGGTGAAATTCTGATGCAGATGTCCAACACACAGAGAGTCCTGAGCTCTGATCTGGAAGTCGTGGTGAGTGGTCTTCCCAGGGGGGCTGGTGCAGGTCAGGGAAAATGGGACTTCCTTAACCACGGCATGCTGGCACTTGGCCCAATTTGCCCCATCTCCCGCCCTCTGCCATGCCTGCTGGCAGGTCCCTGCCCCCCTGCTGTCCCTGCTGCCTGTGACAGAGCTGGCATGCCCAGAGCCTGGCTATTGTTCAATGTTCGGTGCAGTTGGTGGACTGTCACCACCCCTCTGCAAGGGTGGTGGCACGTGTACAGTAGACTGTGCAATGCAGTGGACTCTGAAGATGTGGCGAGGCTGTCCTCTCTTTCCCTGGGTGGCAGTGGTGGGACAGGAGTGGAGGGGATGCTAACCCTTCTGGATACTGCTGTCTGTGCCTGTGCCGAAGCTCGGGGGTTAATCGTTGGGTGGGTGCTGAGTGCCCACCCCCAGGCTGCAGGGCTGCTCCATGGTAGTCCTCATGTGCCCATTTCTGGCTTCTGTATGGGGTCCAGATGGCAAAGGAGTCACTAGCTCTGTGGGTTTTGAGAGCTGCCCTTTCGCTCCATACGGTGAAGGGCTGAGGGTGATGGCTCCTTTGCCTCTTCCAGGCTCAGACCTTCCATGTGGACCTGCTGCAGCACATGGAGAAGAACTCCAAAATGGATGTGCAATTCATTAGTGTGAGTGATGAACTTCCTTATCCTCCTCAGCCCTCCTTGTTTCCCCCTCCTTTCTACCCAAAGGCTTCTGCTTGAGCACTTGAGGTGTTTCCTTGGCTTTGCTCAGCAGGAGTTAGAGGGGGGATTTTCTTCTTCTTCTGTCATGGACCAACACCCCCCCAGCCCCTATTTTGGCTGATGGTGGAGGGCTAAGGAGAGCAGGCAACTGTTCTCCTTTGTGCAATGGGACTTGCCAAATGCTTCAACAGGGCTGAGACTTGGCGTCCCAAAGGCAGAGTTCCCAGCTTTCCCTAACCACAGCCTCTGAGTAGGTGTGGGTCCTGTGCCATTGTGGTCTAGCTGGCCATGCTGGTGGGTAGTGTCATGGAGGGAGACAGAGGCCCTGGGGGCTTGCTGCCAGTGCAGGGGGAGCTTGGCACCAGTTCTTGCTCCTGAGATCCTGAGGCTCATTAGCCCTCTGGGACCCTTCAAAATGAAGAGAAAGGTAAAGAAAGACCTTTTATAAGAGGTCCAGGTAAAGCCTAATTTCCGAGAGACTCAGATGCTCAACCACCCACCGGAGCAAGACTCTTGCTGCATCGCAGTGTGGCTGGGTCTCTGGTTCCTCACCCAGCCTGGTTTGTTCCTGGCAGGAAAGCCAGAAGCAGTATGAGCTGGAGTACCAGCGCAGAGCCACCAACCTGGATAAGTGCATGGCAGACCTGTGGAGAATGGAGAGAGCCCGTGATAAAAATGTCCGGGAGATGAAGGTGAGCAGTGATTGCAAGAAGGGGAGTTGGAAAAAGAACCGGATTATTTCTCTGGAGCCAGGGCTGGTTTCTGAGCAACCTTGTCCTTATTTAAAAGCCAAGGCATTGACCTCGATGTTCAAAAGGCAGCAGGCTTATCTGGAAAGGAGGAACCTCCTTTTCTACAGGGTGCTACTGACCTGTGGTACTCGCTCCTGCCAAGCCCTTTCCTCATTTAGCAAGCCTCAGCGTGCAAGGACTTAAACCCTGGCACTCTGCTCTAGCTCCTCTGTGCTGCCCCGGTGCGAGTGGACTGGGAAGCTGGCAGATACGACAACCTATTTCAACCCTTCCCTTGCCGTGTGTGGGCACGCTCCGGTGGATTTACGCTGATCCCTTCCCTCCCTCTTTCCCCTGTGGCCCAGGAGAACGTGATGCGACTGCGCTCGGAGATGCAGACGTTTGTCTCTGAGAGCCAGAGGGAGGCTGAGCTGGAGGAGAAACGCCGCTACCGCTTCCTGGCTGAAAAGCACCAGATGCTCTACAACACCCTCCTCCAGTTTTACAGCAGGGTATGGTCCTGGCGTGCCGGGGAGCAGAGCTGGGGGAGCCGGCAGCATGGCTTGGAGCAGGGGGCATGCAGGCAGGAGGGAGCCAGGGCTGAGCTTCTCCTTGGGTGAAGTCAGCATCTGTGTGTCGACTGCGCAGAAAACTCTATTTCCTTTCTTGCTGTGGGGTCCAAGCTGACTGTATGAGGCTGGGAGGGCACGGTCAGGGGTGAGGATGGTGCTGACAGGGTGTTAGCTGGGTGTGTGGCCGATGGGAAAGGGAAGGGTGATGTAGGTGTTTTAAGACAGGGTCATTGGGACCACGGGGTATCTGCTGGAGGGTGCCATTCTAGAAACTCACTCCTGTGGGGCTCTGTTTAGCCATTCCCACACACATAATTGGGGGAGGACCTGGTCTCTAACCTAATGCTTGTGGCAGCACTCGGCTCCCTCTGTCGTTGTTCTGCCCTGTCTGTCACCCCTTCTTCTCCCCTCTCTCTCCAGGCTCGGGGCATGATCCAGACCAAGGCACCGCAGTGGAAGGAGCAGCTGGAGGCCAGTCGCAACCCCTCAAACAGCCACCCACAGGGTCTTCTCATGACCTCCCACAGCCAGGGGTATCTGTCGGGCCGGATGACCCCCACCCACCTCGAGATGGTGAGGAGCCCATGGACAGCCTCTGCCTTAGAGGTAGTGAGGCTGCAGCTGCCCCTTTCAAGCTGCAGTCCTTGGTATTTGCTGTGTCCTTTCCTGGCCAAGATGAAGGGAAGTGTGTATGTGGGTTGCAATGGAGGAATGTGCTGGGTCTGGTTTTCTGAAAGGGACTGGGTATTTCTCAGAGCATCTCCCACCTGTGGACTTAGCCTCCTTTCTTTCCAACAGGCCCAAAGACCCCTTGGTTCTTCCATGACTGGGAGTAGATCCAGCATCTTCCCTCTGGAGCCTCCAGAAATGAGACCGTCTCCTCAACCAGAGTCCCCCAGGCGGCCGCTGCAGAGGACACCATCAGCCAGTATGACCCATGTCTAGGAGAAACACTGGGGAGAGACAGAGTGGTTGGGCCTCTCTGGGAACAGAGCTGGGTTTGGGGAGGGACCACAGCTCTATCAGACCACCCGTCCTCAGCCCCATCCCTGTGCATGATAAGAGGACAATGCACGTGGGAGCTGGGAAGGGCAAGGCTGAATTTAGCAGAGGGTGAGTGCAACCTTCCGAGCAGGGTCCATCCTGGACAATGCCAGGTTTCCTGGTTGGCTGTATGAGGAGGGGAACCCCACAGGTGTGCAATTTTGAAAGGCTTCTTGAACCATGAGGGCCGGTTCTTACTGGAATTCCCATTTTGGTAATGCATTTTCCCTTGCTCTACCAATTTAAATATTACCCTGCCCTACAGAACCCAGCCAGTTACCTCATGCTTCACCTGTTTTTCCTTCCTGAAAAATTTCAGCTTAAAAAAAAGTTCGAAGCTTATAAAGCTTAAAAAAAAAAGCTTTTAAAAAAAGCTTTTTTTAAAAAAAAAAAACGGGGGCAGGGAGAGAGGAAAACGACCCAACTTTTTGAATTTGAGCAACCTGGTCTAGTGGGTGGTGTCCCTGCCCACGGCAGGGGGGTTGGAACAAGATGATCTTTAAGGTCCCTCCCAACCTAAACCATTCTACGATTCTGTAATTCTGTTGCTCTAGCACAGTTGGGAAAGGGGACATCAGCCAGGCATCTAGTGGGCAGTGCCTGTGCCCCATGGCTACATCTGGCCAAAGAGGACATAGTGCAAAGCAGGTGGTTTCAGCTTGAGTCGATTTTCTCCTGCAAGATGAATGTTATGCTATGCCCTGCTCTCTGCCTGCAGAGAAAGGCCATCTACTCCTCTAGGATAATTACTTGACTGGGGAAGCACCAGTCCTTTCAAGGCAGCATAGGTCTTGCAGGAGGATGCCGGGCTCCAGCCAGACCCCTCTGATGCCTCCCTGCAGGTTTGCTCCCCACCAGCCGTATCTCCCGGTCGGGTTCCTTCGGTGAGGCCAGCAGCAGCAGCGAAGGCAGGAGGAGGAGCGGCACGGCGAGAGTGCAGGCTATCGCGGCCCACATGACGGGCAACAACCGGACCCTGCTGCGGTTTGACCCTGGGGATGTCATCACGGTGCTGAAGCCAGACGCGCAGAACGGCTGGCTGTATGGCAAGCTGGAGGGCTCATCCACGTACGTGACATGGGTGCTGTAAATTGGCCTGGGGGCAAGGTCGTTCGGGTCCGGAGCTGGGAGGCTTAAGCCTGAAATTATCTCCTCGATCCCCTGTTGGTGTGGTCAGTGCAACTTGGTCTCACCCACCCTCTTGGGGGGACATCGCCGTGTCACGTGGGGACTCTCCAAGCTGAGGAGATGTGGTGGGGCAGGGTGAGCGTGGATTAGCTGCCTGAGGGAGGCTCCGGGGTTGGAAGAGCCAGGGATGCAGTGAACCCTCTCCCAACTTGCACGACTGGGTGACTCCTGTCATGGGACCCAGCTCGGGGCCGTGAACTGCTGGAGTTACCTGAGAGGTCTGGCATTTCTCAACTCACACTGCAACTGCCGCCGCACCCTCCGGCACGGACAGGGCATGGAAACTGCTGCACCCAGCGCTTACTGAATTACTCCCCACCACGCTGCTGGCCAACACCTATTTGGAAAGCAAACATGGCATCCCCGCACCGTGCTCTGCAGGGAAGCTCACACACTCAGGTGCTGGATGAGCAAGAGCAGTGTCTTTCTTCTGGGGGGGATTTCTGGGGTGGAGCTGCTCCTCCCCAAGAAGAAAGGGATTTCCACAGCTTCCTTGTGTGCTGGCCTTGGCCATCAGGCTCAGTCAGGGCGTCTCTTCCTGGATTGCACAAGCGTTATTCTCAGGAACAGGGGTTTTGCACGGGCTCTGAGATAAACGAGTCCTGCCCCGAGCTCAAGGACTGCCTCGCAATAAGCCCGTGTCCCAGCTGGGGGTGAAAGATGGGCAGAAACCCTGTCGCATGAGGCGGCGGCGGCGGCTTGGTTGATGTGTGGGATGGGTGTAGATCAGGAGCGCTGGGCAGCTGGATCTGAAGAACCACAAACCGTGGTTGCCTGGAGCTCATTCGTCTCTACTTCTGTGCCTTAGATGCGGGTGGTTCCCCGAAGCTTATGTCAAGCCTCTGGAGGGTGCGAGGGAGATGGAAGAGCTGGTCACCAGGTAACAGGAGAGCAAATGGCCAGGCAGCAGGTGGAGTGGCTCCTTGCAGGTCACTAACACCAGTGGGGTGCCTGTTTGGGTTGTTCACCATGGAAAGCTGCAGTGCTCCCATGCTGGAATGTCTGCTGAGAGCCTCGCCATGCCCTGAGATCTCTCAGGCTTACCCTAGATGGCTCCCCTAACACGTGCAATATCTTCTCAAAGGCGCTTGTGACTGGGCCAGTCCAAGCCATGTGCATTTGCTCCGGTGGCATGTTGTTGATACATGTCTCTATGCATGTTGTGGATAGCACCTGTGCTGCCCCCTGTTATTTGCTCCTTGACTTTCACCCCACTGTCTTCTCCTCTTGCTCAGGTCCTTCCCGCTGCGAAGCAGTCACAGTATGGATGACATCCTGGACCGTCCCAGCGCTCCTTCCTCTAGCAATTACTGGCCTTCTGCACCTGCCCAGCCCCGTGTGCCGACCCCACCTCCCCTCTCGATGGGTGCCAGCAGTCACCAGAGTGGGGTGGCCACCTCAGTCAGTTCTGGCTCCAAGGTGAGTGCAAGAGGAGTGTGTCTGTGCATGGAGTGGGTTATGTCTGACTTTCATCATCCGAGGCACACCTTTTCTGCATTGGCCTGCTGACAAAGAAAAACAGCTTCCAGATGTTGGTGTGTGACGTCCTCCTTTCCTGACCTAAGGGGTCTTGTTAGCACTCACCCAGTCTGTTCCCATGCCACCATGTCCTGGTGGCCCCTGCCAGGCAGCCTTGTGTGTGCAGATCCGCAGTCCCTGGCTTTCCTCCCTCGAGGGACTGCTTTTCTGCCACTGCCCTTGTCATTTCTCTCTCTTTTTGCTCACCAGGGACCCTTCAGTTCAGTTCTTTTCTCCATGACCTCCCAGCCTGATTTCTGGTGGCTCAAGGGCAGCACCTCTTTCTGCTAATAGTAGGACCATGGAGTGATCAGGCTGGGCTGGGAGTGGGTGACCAGCTAACAGAGATGCCATCCTTCTCCCTTCAGAGAATAGAGAGGAGTTTTATAGGGCTCCTCTTCTAAATTCAAGCAAGGGTTTGGTTAAAGTCACAGCTGAGGTAGGGGAAAAGCTAGGGGCAAAGGCTGAGGGCACAAACATTTTGGAAAGCCTTACAACAAATAGTGTCCCACCCATGGCTTATGGATGGGTGGGACTGAGAAGGAAACCCTCCACTTGTCACTGCATCCAGATGTGGAGAATTGACTAGTGAGGACAAAAATAAAGCTAAAGACAGTTGAAGCTGAGGACTTGGGAGGGGGAAAATGGTGCTGCCCTTGGGGTGTTACTTGCTCAGTCTCATAGGAGCCTGGAAAACCTCATCTCTGGTCACTGGTTCCAGGCCGGTGTGAGGTTGCATGCAACTGGATGGCTCAAAGGACTGAAAAATGCCCATTTAATTACTCTTTTTTTTTTTTCCTTTCTTTCTTTTCATGTCCTGCTCTGTGGTTTCAGGGAGCCTCGGGCTGCACAATACAGAGGGGAACGGGCTCTGCAGCCTATTGCCCCCTCTGGGTCACTGGTTTCCATCCAGTCCCAGGGCTAGGGTGTAGTGCTAGACCTGGGATTGAGCAATGAAGTGTGTGGAGCTTTTGGAGTACCATGGCGGAGCGATTGAGCCTCATTAGAAGTTTGGAATGACTCAGCCTTGCTCTAAACTTCTGCCCAAGATATCCTTTAGTTGAGCCAGGAGCAAATGGTGTCTGTTTGACTTCCTAACTGGAATACAGATAGCCACATGTGGCTTTCTTGTCTGACACCAGCTACAGAAAGTGGCATACTTTAGCAGGCCAGTTGTCACTAATCCTTCACTACCTACTAGCCAGGAATAAGGGTCACAGGGCCTAGGTCCATCTCTTTCCATCAGGCTGGTCCACTTTTAAGCAGTATGTGGTGTAAGATAGGTAGAGGCAGCTCTTGAGTTCCCCATGGATGCAGGAAGCATGTGAGGGCACTGATGATAAACTCTTTGCCGGGATGTGTGGGCAACATGAGGGGGCATCTCTGGCTGTGCTGGTAGGGTGAAATGTAGCTCAGACTGTCACTGTTTGCTGTGCTCTTCACACGTGACACTTTGGGGATCTGAGGCCTCTCCTTTCTTCCCCAAGACAAAGGGAGGTGTCCCAGGGGAACAGGCAACCTGTGGTGTAGGGACAACCCCCACCACAGGAATCAGAGCGTTACCTGGAGGGGTGAATTTGTGGGATTATGCAAACTTTGAATGAATAAGGAGTAGGAGCCTCGTTAACAGGACTTGGGCTCCTAACTCATTTAAATGTTTTGTGAAATCTTCCTCTGTGTGTGCGGTGTTTCCTGCCCCGCTTTTGTCTCACCATTCCCCACCCCAGATCACTCACTGCTGCCTTTATTTTCACTGCAGAAATCGGGAGCATCTGATCAGCCTCCTGAACTCTTCCCACGGTGAGTGAGGCTTTGAATAATTGGGGGGAGGGTGGCATTATTACAATACTATTATTACCTAATCTTTTGGATTATCAAATGTGGGAGGAACAGGGAAGTGTCTGGAGGAAATCAATGCACAACCCACCTTCCAAGACCGGTGGTGGGCCCACAGAAGTGGGCCACGCTGGCTGACTGGGCAGGCTCTCTCCTCCCTCTGGTAATACAAGGTAGGGCCTGAGCACCCTGAGCAGATGGCCAGACCTGCGTGCTCCTTCTAATCCATCTTGGAAGAGCCACAATAACAGCTTGCAGCCTGAGTGTGGAGCTACATGATTTGTGCAGCTCTGCCTGCCTGGAAAGCGCTGAGGTGTAAAGGATGTGGCTTTTAGCTTTGATGAGTCAGGTCTGTGGAGATGAGACTTGCCATAAATCCCTGCTTTCCTTCCCCATGCAGCTGGGCTGGTGTATCCATGTTTCTGGCAAGGTGCTGTGGCCTCCTCCTGCTCCCTGACTCCTTGCTTGGAGGGTCAGGGGCCACAAGTGTAGAGCGCTGCCACAAAGGACAGCATTATGCTTGTGACCCTTCTTCATCCTATGGAAGAGGGAGCGTGGGAAGCCCTGGGGAGAGCCCAAGGGGGGAACCACATGGCAACCTGCAGCAGGGTGTGTTAAGGAGGGAGAAAACATACTCAACAGCCAGCTTTACCACGCTCTTCTCCTTGGCATGGCGGTGGCTGTTTGGCAGGACTAAACAGCCTTTGCTCGGTCAGCAGGACGCCTGCGTGGTCTTTGCAGATCTCCTGATGGTTGCCTGTTTCCTTTCCCCTTCCAGAGGTACCAACCCCTTTGCCACGGTCAAGCTGCGTCCTACAGTCACCAACGACCGCTCGGCACCCATCATCCGATGAAATGGGGCTGTAGATGATGGAGAATTTCAGCAGGGAAGGGGGAGGCATACAAGCGACGGGCTGCGACCCCCCAGCTGGGCAGCAACCTTGTGCTACCACTCACGGAGTGACCTTTCTCTTCCCCTCTTTTCCCTCCGGGACACGGGGACCCATCTCACCTGGCTGTCTGGTGTGCTTTGGCCAGTGGCAAAGACCCCTGATGCTCTTTTTTGGATATTGCCCTCTTCCCCTCGCCCCATGAGGGGGTTCCTGTACCTGAGAAGTCTGCTCAGGTACCTGCGGGAGAAGTCCATTGGTGATGGTGGGCTGGGAGAAGTGATGCTGTGGGTCTGGGAGGTGCAGAGGATGGGTAAGATCATCTGTGGCATGGGGCAGCGCTAGCAGGACGAGGAAGGCCAAGCTTTGCTAGCCCTGCTGTGGCCAGAGAAGGACACTCGCCGAACAGTCCCTTCAGTACCAAAAATTGAACCCTAAAGGGAGAAGGCCACAAGAAGGTCTTCCAGCGACATGGTCCAGCTGCCTGGGTCTGTAGAGTGGCAGCTCTTGGCCCCTTTGGCAGCTGTGTCTGTAGCCACATCTGCCCCTTCTCGCTCCCACCGTGGCTCCTTCCCTTCTTTGGCAGCCCTGGGGCAGGTGATAGTGCCCAGAGCCCCTGCCCTACTCCTTCGCCTATTGTCCCGTGGAAAAGATTTGGTTGTGGTTTTTTTTTTAAATAAAATGGAGAATGTCGCTTCCATAGCTGTCCCAGCGGCCGGGACATCACCTCAGTCAGAGGACACAGAGACGTGGGGTCCCCGCCAGAACTGGGGCCATGATGGATGGCCACCTGTGTTGAACCCTGCAGTGCTCGGGCAATCTCCAACCCAGGTGGCCAGGGCAGACATGGTGGGCACTGGGAGAGCTGCACAACCCACCGCCACCCACCCCTGGCTCCCCCCAGCTGTCCTGCCACTGGAGGGCAGCAAGCCCACACTTCCTGGCCGCCATGTGGCCCTGGAGGACAAGACCTGGTGGCCATCTTCTCCTGGCTTGGGGTGTGAGCCCCAGGGCAGCTTGGTATGGGGGGCAAACACTCCCCTGAGGGGGTGCCTGTGGGTGCCCCACCAGCCTGGCCCCACCGCCGGGGGACAGAGGAGGAGGCGGTGAGGGAGGGAGTGTAAGCAACAGCCAGGGCTTTAGCCGATTAGCCTTATTAATAGAAATTAAACCCTGGCTGCAAGCACTGCAAAGCCCCCGCAGGGCCCCCCCCCCCAGTGCCCTGCTGCCATGGAGTGGGGCCCGAGGGGCTTTGGGTGTTTACAGCCTGCGCCTTTCCTTCCTGAAATCCCCCCGGGGGTGACCTGATAGTAAAACGGGTTCCCCTACGTGTGGCCATAGACTGGTCTGTCCCTGGCGCCCACCTGGGTGGCAGCTCCTGAGGGGGGTTCAGTTTGGTGGGGGATTAGGGGTTAGTGAGCTGCCGGGGGTGGGCTGGATCTTGAGCCACAGACGGCAGCGATGCCTCGGAAGATCCACCTTGTCTTTGCTGCCTGCTGGGCAAATTCCCTGCAGGACCACACCAGGGCTTCTCCATCCTTCTGCCTGGACACCGAGGGAGTGGGGTGGGGGCTTTGAAAGCAGCCCTCCTTCCCCCATTTTACCCCTTACTGAAGCATGGGGTGGTGCCCTCATCCTCCACTGACCCTTCTTCCCTTGCACACCCCCCCTCCATCACCAGCACCCCCCCTCCATCACTGGCACCCACCCTCCATCACCAGCACCCCTTACCCCTGCTTCCTCCCAATCTGCCCCTACCCCTCTCTGCTGGGGGAAAGGCGAGGAGCCCCATGGCAGCGGGATTACCGGGGGATTCGGGCCGCAGCAGGCAGCCACCTCCTCCCCATTGGCTGGAAAAGCCTCTTAAAAGTGGAGAAGTGCTTTCTGCCCGCTCAGCACCCACTGGTCTCCACCGACCTGAAACCATAAGCAGCTGCTGACCCACATCCATGCTGGGAGCGCCGTGGGGCACTACCTGCACCCGCAGGAGGTAAGGGGGTCCCCCACACGGGGCATCCCCCCGGGTTGGCCACGGGCAGCGTTGGAGCTGGAGGAAAGCAAGCTGAGAGAGGGATTAGCTCTCTAGAGAGGACATAATTGCCCTGAAGAAAGGAGCAGGGCACAAGAGATTTGCTCGACGGGCGCTGGATTCCTGCAGGCATCTCCCCGTTGGCTGGCTGGCGGCGTGTCCACCATGGAGCAAAGAGCCGGTGGGACCATCTAACTGGGCGCCCTCGACCAGAGCCAGGAAGCACTAGCTGGAGGAAAAAAGGAGCGCTGTGGACAGGTCTGCTCGGCCCTCAGAGGCTCAGCCCGTGCTCAGGAGGTCGTCGCTTCGTTGCGCAGGTCAGTGGCATGGAGGGATGCTTGTGTCCTGGCATCGGCTGCTGACGGGATAGCTCATCCCAGGCCAGCATGCATTTAATTCTCTATCAAATGCTTTCCCATGGTGTTTTTTGTGAGCTGGGGAGGCTGGTGGCATGAATTGTGGCCCTTGCATTTAACAAACAGACCCCCCCACAGTCCCCCATACTGTGTGGAGGCATGAGGAGCCATCCTAGCATTTGTATGAACCTTCCTGGATGCAGCTTGCCTGGCACAACAGGGCTTTGCTGGGCATTCTCCAGCACCGACTGCTCTGTGTGCATCCACTGGCAGCCACGGCTGAACCTCTTGACCTGTTGTGTCCTTCTCCCTCCTGGCCAGGGCTTGTGACTTATGGTGTCGGCACAAGTCTTCTCCTGGCACCCACCTGCAGGTAACTCTATGGCAGTGCCTGCTCTGGCCCACCTGAATGTGATGCACAGGGAAGGGCATGTGCCCATGCTGATGAGCTTTTAGGCACTTGTAAACTTACCCATGGTATTTTTACCTGGGAATAAAGCTCCTTAACTGAGGATAAAATAATAGCAAGCTGTAGAGTGTGCAAAGGCAGGTGCAGGGTACATGATGTGACCACCATGTACAGCCATGAGCAGAAGAGCCAGCATATGCGCCGTGGTGTTAGGAACAGGGCAGCTCTGAACTGCCTGGCTTAGAGCTGGGATGAATCTCCAGCAGAGCTATGCTCTACAGCAGAGGGGCTTTGGAGGCATCTCTGCAGGTGAGCTCCTTTGGTGTACCTCATCTTTTTCAGCCAACATCCAGCTGCAGCCAGGTAAAAGCCCCTTCATGCCTTACTCGCTGAGCAAGTGGCTCCTGCAGAGGTACCCATCCAGCTCCAAACTCAAGTAGGGCTGACAGATATTTGTCTAGCATGCTTTTCAAAATCAGATGCTTTTGACTCATCATTGACAGGAGATGCTAGAGAAATCTCTGAAGGGCATGCCACAGAGGGACAAATATTTTCTTGCTAGGAAGCTGGGGGAAAAGATGAATTGCAAGGATTTGATTGATTAATTTGATTTGTGGTGCAGGACAAGATCAAGAAGGGTGAGTCTGGGAGAGGGGTTTGGATAAAAAAAAACCTTAGGTTGTGTTTAGTGTCAGTTGCTCTTATTTGGGGTAGCTATGTGCAGCAGGTGATGCAGTGGTGGAGCACCAGCACAGATTGAGAAATCTTGGTGCTTTTGCAGCAGGTCACCTTTTGTCCAGCTGTACCTAGCCTGTCAGTTGGGTGGAGCTGGGAGATGAGCAGCAGGTGGGTAATGGCAGAAACAGAGCAAGACTGTTTGTCCTGGTGCTAGTGATCCAGATAACACCAGAAAGGGTGTGAGGGGGAAGATGTGAGTGTGTAGAGAGTGTATAATTAATCTTTTCTTCCTTGCAATGATTTTTTGCCTTGAAAATGTCTTTATAGCACCCTGTTCTCAATTAATGTCTCTGCCCTTTGGGGCAGAAAGATGGGAGTAGGGGAAAGCTGGGAGTAGCCTGCGCCATCCCCTGCAGTACAGCCCAAGAGTTGTTAGGATATGGCCATCCAGAAGAAGAGCTGCCTCAATCTACACTCAGAGCCAGATCTTGCTCCCTTTTTTCATGGCTGATGGGGTCCTGAAAGTTTGGAGATCTCTGCAGCAGGGACCTGAGGTGGTGGCAGATGGCTGGGTACTGTCGTGAACAGACTCTCAAATGTTTTCAGGAGCAACAGTCCCCTGGGGAGGGGAAGGAGGGAGACCGCTGTGGGTGTCTGGTGACTCCGATTCCACCCTTCCCTCCACAGGTAAACCTTGGCTTGGGCACCTGACTAAAACCAACCAGCCAAGACCGTTTTGTGCCTCCTCACATCGATGCACTGGGGGTGCATGTGCCTTGTGGAGGGGTCTGTAACTGGCCTAGTTGCCTTCTCTTGCAAGTCCCTCACCCAGCATCCCCCAAACTATGGCTTCAGACCCCTCTCAGACGACTTCCCAGCCCTGTTTCCAGCCTTGGCTTTGCAGCTTGAGAAAGACTGGTCAGTTTCCTTTTCTGCAAGATTCAGGGGTGTCACAGGGTAGGACCACCTCTTGCCAAGTGAGGGCTCTTTACCTAGACTCTGCCCCAGCCTGTGACATCCATGCTTTTGCCTGTAGGATTTGCACTTGTTTAACCTGCAGAGCAACAGCAGTGCTATGGGAATTGGGGCAAGTCATCTCCGTTGCTTGGAGGACATGAAGAAAAGGGACTCCCTTGAGAAATGCATCCAGAACCAAAGCTTCCAGGTACCAGCCCTGTGTGTACTGTCCATAGGAGTGTCCTTGTCCCCTTGGCAGTCTCCAGTCAGCACGTGACTGCTGGTATTTCCTACAACTGCTAGTGCCAAGTGATGGGGGACATTGCCGCCATCTCGTAGTCATTAAGGGAGCTGGGAGGAGAGAGGACCCACGCTGGGGGTGTACTGCCAGCAGGATGGTGATACAGCAGACTGAACCTGGCAAAGCCCATCTCAGGCATGGAGAAAGACCACCTGCTTTCTAACACCCATCTGATGCTACTTAGGAGCATCTATAATCAACGATCAACGATGTTTTTGCATACAGGTGTGAAAATAAGCCTGGCTGACCAAGAAACTGAGGCCAATGGGGCTGTAAGGGGCATAGCAGAGATCTGATGCCTGCAGAAGAAATGAGAAAAACATATCCACAGCAGCCAACTGGAGCAAAATTCCTGGGCAGCTTAAGAGCCCCAAGAGCAACTCACAAGACATCCTCTCTAATTCCCTCCTTCTCCCCCCTTAGGCTTTGTTCTGGCCCCTCCGTGTAGGTACAGAGCCCTAATCTCTCTGGCATGCAAATAACCACTGCCACCAGTTTGCCCATGCTCTCCCCCTTCACCCATTTCCCAAATCTGGCCCCTCGTGGCAGGGAAGGGAGGGTGATGGAGAAGGCTGGGCACAGAGGCCTCCCAGATGAAAGCACAACAGGGTTAATGGACCTCCTGTGCCTCACTGCTGGAGGCATCTGTGGCAAGGCAGGCTCTGGAAGGCTCCCAGCTGGAGCAAACCAGGAGGGGAGAGGCTCAGAGGAAGATCTTGGGAATCAAGCAGGGTTCACATTGCTGGCTCTCACCTCTCAGCTGCCTGCAGGCAAGGCTGGATATGGGGCAAGTGGTGTGCTACAAATCCTGACGCCCCCCAACATTAGATGCAGCTCTTCAGTCTCAGCTGGGAGCTGCGACCCTGCTTGACTGTGTCTGACCAGGGTTTATGGAGCTGTGTGCTGCCCTGAGCTCAGGGGGACCTTCCCACCTCTGCCCAGCTCTTGTTTGACCTCACACCCTGAAGCAATTCTGCCTTGCCTGGCAGGATGGTGGTCCTGAGAGACGATGTGGTCCCTCGGTGAGGCTCTTGGGGCTTGTATATAGTGGGCATGGAGAGAAACCTTGTAGTAAACGTTTGCCTGCTGTGCTTTTCTCTCCTTGCGGAGCCTAGAGATTTTTCTCTCTCTTTTTCTCTGTTGCTCTACTTTCTCCTGGTTTGCCTTTCCCCTCCCAGGCTAGACGATGGGGAGAGCTGACCCAGAGGAAGGGCATCTCCCAGCTCCTGTGAAGCCCCCAGATGGTGGCTGGGGCTGGATCGTGCTCTTTGGCTGCTTTGTGATCACTGGCTTCTCCTATGCCTTCCCGAAAGCCGTCAGTGTCTACTTCAAGGAGCTCATGAAAGATTTCCATGTGGGCTACAGTGACACAGCCTGGATCTCCTCCATCATGCTGGCCATGCTCTATGGGACAGGTGATGCTTGGATACGTTTCCCCCTCCCTAACTTGTGCCTTCCCTGCTCTGCTATGGGACCAGACCTTGTCCCCATGGGTTCTCCTCACACTCACTGGCCTAGTCATGAATAATCATGCAGAATACAATTGTCCCACCACTTCTCTCCTAGAAGTGTGCTGCATTTCATGTCCCTGTTTCCTCTGCCCCAGGAGATCTTGGGGATCACCCCAGCTGGCTCTCAGTTAACATGGGGTTTGCTCCCACTGCTGAAGTGCTTCCCCTATCACACCAAGCCCCTTCTTCTTCCCAGGTAACAAGGGGCTGAAAGCAGGGGAAAAAAGATATCTCCACACTGTAGCCTTTCTTCCTTGGCCAGGCCCAAGGGCTGTGTATTTGAGCAGCCAAGCAATGATCTCTGTCATTAGTGTTTCATCTTCCCCAGGTGCCCTGCTTGTGCAGGCTGCTCCTTCCCACTTTCTTATCTCCTTCTAGTCTCCTACTGTGTCTCTTCTGCTTCCTTCCAGGACCAGTATGCAGCATCATGGTGAACCAGTTTGGCTGCCGGCCCGTGATGCTCATCGGCGGGCTGCTAGCTTCTTCTGGGATGATCCTGGCATCTTTTACCACCAATATCATTGAGCTTTATCTGACAGCTGGCGTGCTGACAGGTGAGAGCCCCAGGAGTTGGGAGGGATATTCATCTGGGAAGGAGCCAAGACCATGTTGTATCTCTCCTTAGCATTGCTGTGGTCTCCCCCATCAGGTCTCCCCTCACCCATTTGCACCTGCTCACAGGAGGCATCTAGTCCTGAACATTGCACCGGTGGGAGATGCATCTACTGCATCTGAATAGACAGGGTCTGTGGTTGAGGGGAGGGGGAAGAGAAGAAATGGAAGTGATGCCCAGTGATCATGGCAACTGGGATGGCATCCATATATTGGGGTGGGGGAGGGAGGCAAATTTCCTGTTTAAGCTACAGGTCCTTTCTAAATGTGGCCACAGCTACCTAATTTGAATACAGTTCAGGTAAACAAGCTGGTTTAGCCCATCTTCTCCAGGGGTAACCCACTAATGTGAAGGAGCAGACACTTGTGATGAACACATGAATCCCATCATGGGACTTCAGGACTAACATAGTCTGAAGGGAGTCTTCATCTTGTTGCAAACCGTATCTCATGTTCTTGCATTCTCTGTCTCCCTCCTGGCTCTCACCCTCATGTAGGTCTGGGTATGGCGTTGAACTTCCAGCCCTCACTGATCATGCTGGGCACTTACTTTGACAAGCGTCGGCCTCTTGCCAATGGACTGGCTGCTGCTGGGAGCCCTGTCTTCCTTTCCTCCCTCTCTCCACTGGGGCAGGTGCTGCTGGAGAAGTTTGGTTGGCGAGGAGGGTTCCTTATCATGGGGGGCCTTCTGCTTAACTGCTGCACTTGTGGGGCAGTCATGAGACCCCTGGATATGGGCATGAAGCGGAAGACGGAGAAGGCTCAGGACAAATATGAAGCCAAGGAGATGCTGCCCATAGGAGGGAAATCAGAGGAGGGAATCAGCACCACTGATGGAACCAAGAAAGCCAAGAAAGCCAAGAAGAAGCCCAGGAAAGGAAAGAAGCTTTTGGATTTTAGTATCTTTTCCAACCGAGGGTTTATCATCTACACTATTTCGAAATTCATCCTGGTCTTGGGTCTCTTTGTGCCCCCCATATTGCTGGTCAACTACGCCAAGGACACAGGTGTACCAGACACAGAGGCTGCATTCCTGCTCTCCATCATTGGTTTCATAGACATCTTTGCCCGCCCGGCCTGTGGCATGGTGGCAGGGTTGAAGTGGGTCCGCCCTCACGTGTCGTACCTCTTCAGCTTCGCTATGCTTTTCAACGGCTTGACAGACATCTGCAGCGCCAGGGCTAGCAATTATACGGGGCTGGTCATCTTCTGTGTCTTTTTTGGCATCTCTTATGGCATGGTGGGAGCACTGCAGTTTGAGGTGCTGATGGCCATCGTTGGCTCCCAGAAGTTCTCCAGCGCCATCGGACTGGTCCTACTCATCGAGGCTTTCGCTGTGCTCATCGGTCCACCGTCTGCAGGTAGGTTCTCTTGCTCCAAAACACAGGTGATCGTTTGGCTGCCATTCCACTGGTATTGCAGGTGTTGGGTGTGGGCACGGTACTTGAAGAAAGACCCTATTTCTCAACTTCAAATTTCCCCTGGAAGCTCAGATCTGAAGTGAGAGCTCCCAGTCTCATTTCAGGCACCACAACACTAAATCTGAACAGGGGCAGAAAATGGCAAGTGATACTTCTCTCTCTGATACTTTGTTCAGAGACCTGAGCAATGGCAAGTGTACAGAGCTACTCAGTGGCTCTCAATCCACTGTCTCTCAATCCTGATCAGGATTCCCTCTCTTCCCTCTCTTTCACTCTGGGATCCAGGTCTCTGCCTTCACTGCGTATGCTGCATAAAATTGTGTTACGGGTAGGGTCAGGCATGTGCTGCAGGCAAACCTAGTGAGAGTCTTTGGCAGGAAAAGATAAGGATCTATCCTTAGTGTCCGTGGCCTTTTGATTGCTGCTGTGAATAAGGATCTCAGTTTGTGTTGATCCCAACCCCAAGGCACAGGCATTTTGGTGTCAGCCAAAGCAGTGTGTGGAGCCACCTGAGGCATCTGCCATTACTTTTTTTAAAGAGGATGAAGCCACTCACAGCTTTTCAACCAGTCTAGTCTAGGACACAGTCCATGGTAAGGTCCACGACCCACAAACAGCCCATAAATAGGCTGTTGAATGGGGAGAGACCCCTCACCCAAGAGGCTGGTGTATGTTCCTGTGAAGTGCCTGATCAGGTCTGAGAAAGTTAAGTCATGCCAAAGATCGTTTCCAAATGAAGTGCACTTTCCTGCACGTGTGATTTGTGAGGAAGAGTCAGGGATGGACCATGGGCAAATCCCCAGGCAGGAACCACTCCGTTGCTTCCTTCACTCCCTTTTTTTAGCCCCACGAGGGCTAAAGCTCATCAGTGAAGACCCCTATGTGAATGAGCCTTTCCCCAACATGTTCCCCCTGAGTTCCATGCTCTGAGTGAAACTCACTCTCAGCAACTCTACCCAGCTCTCAGGTGAAAATTGGTGGTCAAGAAAAGACTCTCTTGATGCCAACAATTATTCATGTCCCGTCTTACAACCTGTGGGGCAATTGGCAGTCCCAGGCCAGGGAGAGTCAAGAAATATGTGTGTGGGAAGCAGCTGCAGAGAGATCATGAGAAGAGAAGGGGATTTAATGGCACCTTGCTCCAAGGAGGGTGATGGGGGACACCCTTTACCCCTCCAGCTTCAGTTCAGCTGTGCCTTGGTACCGTGCACATGCACAGTGGGACACAGATGGTGCAGGGACACTGAAGAATGGTGTTGGAACCAAGTTGTGGTTCCCACCTTCTCCCCGGGGGGGAAATCACTGCTGCAAGGACCCCCCGGTATGGGAAGCTTGAGTGTGCTGGCAAAGCCCACAGCTGGGAGTCGGTGGAGCAGCACTTGGCTGGAAGAAGGGGGAGGGTTTGAACAAAGTGGCTTTGTTTGGTGTAATCCTCCTGAGCTGCTTCCCGCTCCGTGGGGCTGAGGGGGTTTGGCACAGGATAAGCTGCACACACACACACATGCGCGTGCACGCACGCAGGCTCCCTGCTCACCACCCAGCTTGGGGGAAGAGTGGCACATTCAGCCAGGGAGGAATTTGCCACGTGCCTCCCATGAGTGCTCCAGGAGGCACCTCAGTGTGCCCTGGGGCTGGTTTCAGGACACACACCATAGTGCAGCAGGGACTGGTGGGTCACATGTGCTGTCAGGAGCACACAGGACTGGCATGAAGCCTCCAGTCACCATGACCCCATCCTATAATCAGTGGGTGCCATCCTGACCATAACAGGGTGGCTGCTCAGGCTCCCCAGCACTGAGGACTGGGAACCTTCCCTCCATTGCCAGCTCTGATGCATTCAGAAAGTGCACTGGGAACGTCTCTTTGGCAGAGAGATCATCAGGTGTAGGCCACCCAAAGGGATTTCTCTGCCAAAGAGATATTTCTTCCCCCACTCTGTGTCTTCCTGACATGATAGCTTAAGAAATAGCAATGCCTTCTCAAATTATGTTTCTTTTCTGAGACTGAACAAGCCAAGTCGTCAGAGGTTCATCTCACCTTGGCAAGAAGAAAATGGGCCACCACGACGCGAGAGAGTAACATCAGTGTGTCACAATTATTTATCCTTGTCCAAACAAGGGAAAACACCAAACCCACACTCTTGCAGTACTTTCCGTGGTGGTACAGTGTGACTCTTGATTTTTTAGATATTCGGGAGCCCGGCTCTTCCCTTGAGAAATGGGTCCTCAGCCAAATGCAGGTGATGCCCACCTATGCTGGGCTGTCCGTGCAGGAGTGCATAGCCTGAAACTAACCATCTCATTTCTTCTCCAACCATCAGGCCGCTTGGTTGACGCTCTCAAGAACTACGAGGTGATCTTCTACCTGGCGGGCTCAGAGGTGGTGCTCTCTGCTGTCTTCCTGGCCATGGCCACCTACTGTTGCCTGAACCGAGGGAAGAAGAAGGAGCCTCCCCCAGAGAAGAACCCCCCAGGTGGCGGGAGTGACACTGAGGAAGCAGAGTCTGACGTGCAGGAAGCCGAGGAGCACAGCAGCGACAACCACCAGCCAACCCACAACACCGACAATGCCATGATGGCGGCCAGCGAGGAGGCCAACCATGTGGCAGAGGAGCAGAGCGGGGAGGGAGGCGGGTGTCCCCAGGGGGACGGGGAGGTCTTGGCACGAGATGGCTGCAACACTGACCAGACGGTGGAGAGGGACAGTTTTTAGCCAGGGCAGAGGAAGGGGGATGTATAAAACTGGCCATGTTTGCGTGCACCTCAGCGTGGGAGGGTAGGTGGGATATGGGGGTGGAGAAAGGTGAGACGAAAGCAGATAAAAGACGTAAGAGGGAGAGGTATAAGAATAGCTGGTCCTTATGTACATACATCCACATACCTACCCAGTGATACGTCTGCTTGCATCCTGCAGCCATGCTGGTACGACGCAGGCTCAGAGCAGCCCAAACACCAAAAAAGAAAAAAAAAAAAAAAAAAAAAAAAAAAAAAAAAAAGATAATCTTCTTTCCTCACTTCCAAACCAGCCAACCAGCCCTGGAAAAAGTCTTCTGAAGAGGCTGCCAAGGACTTTCCTTTTCCTTCTGCATTGTCACCGTACAGAACACAAACAATTAGAGACTCTTTGTAATCAGATCTGGTACGCTTTGGTCTGGTGTCAGTGTTTCCTCCGCCCCACTTCCCCGCTCCGGTTGGGATAGGGCCAGGCAAGCTGGCTGGAGGCTCAGGAGGTGGTGTAGTTCATAGCCGTCACCTGGGCCCCTCCAGCTGGAGGGGTAAGACACTGCCTTCCCTGCAATACCTCCCTGGGGCACTCACCAACCTGGTGGGACACCAGCTCCAACCACCCGGAGCATCTTCTGCGGGTGTCACACGTGGTGCTGCTTTTCCCAGTAGGGAAGCGCTGGGTGAGAGGCCGCTGCCGAGGGGCCAGAAGAAGCCATCTGAGAAAGGCTAATGCCATTAGGTGAGCAGCCACGGGTGGGAGCCTCGCCGACAGGAATAGCCGGCTTCATCCGGGCTGAAGTGAGTCCTTTTGACGTGTGAAGGGAACAACTTGGCCCCTACGGGGGTGGGGGTTTCAGGGCAGGTAAATAACCGTGTCCCCAGCGATTATCCACTCAGCAGGACCGGCACCAGACGCCTGTGTGTTTTCCTTTTTAAATAGAGAAAACCCCCTTACGTAAAGGAATCAAAGGTGAAGCAGAAGGACAAGCCGCAGCCCCTGTGGGTGCCACTGAGGAGGGTGTTGGAGCACGTGGTAAGGCAGGCATGACCCCCTCACCCCCGTGGCGGTGGTGGATTTCTAGATTCAGAGAGGACAACCTTCCCTGGCATGCTTAAACCACCCCTAATCTGCTTTAGGACTGGATCCTTCATAAACACCCCCGGCCAAAGCCCTTTCTTCCGGTTTCCTGAACTGCTTCACCTCAGGGGCCCTGGGGAACCTGTGACTACAGCGAGGGATCAAACACTAAGCAGAGGGCTACAGGGGAGGCAGCTCATGGGACCACCAAAACGGGGGTTTCAGGCCAGACCAGACTGAGCACAAATAAAGGGGTAATGGGTAAAAGCCTGCGGGACCTGCAAAGCCATTTGGACCCAGAGAGGGAGTGGGGACATGGAGGAAAGGGTTTCATTCCAGATGCTCCCAAGCAAAGAGCAGTAAATGATGAGCAAAATAAAGCTGCTGGAGAAAGACAGTTTTAAGAAGAGATATGAGACCTGGAAATTGGAGGGGAGAAGGTAAAGCCTGTCCCACTTTGGCTAACACCACCCTTATTAGCTCTGGTTGTGAGCCAGTCACAGCGGTGACTTTGGGCTTTATTCCTGTTCAAACCCACTTAGAAAGATCCCAAATCAGACTAAGCACCACGACAAACCCCAGAGAGATGCAAAGCTCTGGGAGAACGGGCAGCAGCAGCCAGGGTGGTGGAGCCCCGTAGGCATCCATTCACTGCGCCCCAAACTTGTTCTCCCCTCCCCGCAAGGAAAGCTCACTCTTTCTGCTCTGCTGGACCAAGTTGTCCTTGCAACTCTTTCCCCAGCAACCCCAAACCCCTTCCACTGGGCTGAGTTTCCCTTATTCACCCAATACGCCCTCTGAGAAGCAGCCCACGGCTCCCCAGAGATCCAAGGTCCACAGCGTGAAAGCAACTGCCCTCGTCAGCGCCAAGCAGGTCATGAGAACAAGGTCCCCTCTGTTTCCTTGTCACCAGTCATTTCCCACTAAGCCTCTCGCTCTTAAACCTTTTCACAAAAGCACAAAAAAAGGCCCTTGGGGCACCAGATCTCCCCCAAGACAGTGCTCAGAAACCCAGCCCTCTTCCTTCCCCTCCACCACTCAGGTTGCAAAAAAAACCTTGGCCTCGTTGGCTTTCAGGTGGGCTCTGCTGAAGCCTTTTCTCCTGTTCCTCTTAACCGCTCCGCATCTTGGCACAACAAAGAGCTCTGAAAGAGGATCAGGGACTTAAGCATCAGCTCAGGCTTGTGATGCAACAGCTGAGCTGTGTGGAGAAGCTGGAGGGGCGCCCAAGGATGCCACCAGGTTGGACTGGTGGCTTTACAAGGCTGCTGTTCCCCTCTGGAAGCCAAGATGCTGGTACTACTGGGAGGACTGGCCTTGCTACGGCATTTATAAGCCGCCTCCTCTGGAAACCTGTGCTGCAGAGAGAGTATCCACCAGCGTGAGCAAGAAAATAATGGGCAGCACATGACACTCCTTCTTCCCATCATATTTTAAGATTAAAACCAAAGGATGAGTAAAAAAAAAAAAAAAAAAAAAGAATCACTGAAGAAAACTCACGAAGGACAGGAAATGAAGTGTCATCTTTTTCTTTATTAGAGACGACAGTCAGTACATCAGAGTCCGTTTAAATCTTCCAGAGCAGCTTGACCATGAATGGCTTTCTTCCAGGCACCCACAGAGACGACGGAGCTCAAAAAAAAAAATCAAAGAGAAAAAACAAAACAAACATCTTGATCATAAATTAATGCCCTTAAATAACTTATTTCCTTACCACTAGGACGTAATGACAGAGAAGTCCAAACCCTTGCCTCTGGGAAGCACACCACGCCTGGCAGTTGTGCTGCCCGCTAAAAGAGAAAGTGCCATCTGCATCTGGGATCAGCCCGCAAGGATGGAGGCAGAAGATGAAAGGAAGGTGGAAAGAACAGCCTCAAGTTTTCCTTTCCCCCCTCCTTCCCTCATGCTGGGGAGCAGGACATGAGCTACTGCTTCTGGCTGGCCCAGGGGCAGTGCAAAACAGCTATGCAGAGAGGAGAGCAGGGGGTGGCACGCTAGTCATGCTTGGCACCAAAGATCTCAAAGCCTCTGCCTACAGGCCACGTCTTCCTCTCTCTGCAAGGCTTCCTGTCTCTCCTCTCTAGTTTAAGGACAGGATACCTCCTTTGAGGTTCTAAGGTGGCTCCTCCTGGTGCCTGCACAGGGACAGAGTGCACAGGACTGGCTGCACACCCTCTAGAAGCACATTTGGTCACTGTCCCTCACGAGGTGCTGTGGGAGAGGAGAATGACGGAAAGGAAACGCGTGCAGCTTTGCTGTTATTCCCAGGAACCTATTCCCAGGAATCTGCCAGCCTCAGACAAGCACCTTCACCCCAGCCTCTCTGCTGAACTAGGGGGCTCCTTCCTAAGCCAGGTCCCTCCTTCCCACAGGGAAGAGCAGAGCCACATCCTGCAGGATTCTAGCCCTGGGATGTGGCTATGGAGTGTGCAAGCAGAGCCAGCTGCGTAGGAGCTCAGGGACCATGAAGAGGACCCCAGCTCAGGGACCGGTAGCCAGGGGAAGAGACTTCCAAATCTTTGCAGCAGGGCTGCGGCAGCTCAGCATGGTAGGCAACTACTTCCACCAGCCCCTGCTTTGAGAGCTCCCCCTGGCCCCTTGGACGGGGGGCGATGATCAGACCACATGCACCACCACCAGTTTTGGGGCACCACCACAGACTTGCTCCCATTCCTTAAGAACAGTGGGACAGAGAGCTGGGAACAGTGGCAGTGATCATCCTGCAAAAATCCATCCTGCAGCCCACAGGGAGAGGTGGAAAGGAGAGAGGAAAGTGAAAACAGGCCAGAGAATGGGAAGAGTGAAGACAGTGAGCAGTGGGGTGAAGAAAACAATGCTGGTGCTAACACTTTCCCATAGCACAAGGGGAGGACCGAAGGGAGCTGTTCTCACCATTTGCAATCATCTCCAGATGTTTAACTGGCTTCCATGTGCCAGAGGGGAGGGGTGCATCCCACAGGCTCAGCAGTGTCCTGTCTGCACACAGCGTCACGTGGCGGTGCGGCGGGAGACTTTTCCTCCCCACACCTCAGTACCCGAGCTGGGCAGCAGAAGTCTCTGGAGGAAAAAGGAATATCCAGGCAAACAAGCAAGGGAAGGGAGAGGAAAGCAGAGGTTGGTCCCAATCCAACCAGCTACCCCCACCCAAAGCAGAGGAGGAATCCCAGGTTGGACATACACAGAAATCACAGAGGATGAATTGCCATGTGAAATACATGTTTTTATAACAGTCTGCAAAGTCCTTCCTCTGGCCAAGCTGGCACACTCAGGCATCATCAATGAGCTTTTCACCATTTGCCTCCTCCTTCCCGCTACCCTCTCTCTCACTTCCTCCTCCTTCTTCTTCCTCTTCTTCTTCCGCCCCGTCCGTGTACGTGTCCTTCTGCCCATAGTTGAGAGTCGTGCGGGCAAGGTCCACCTCAATGGGAAAGACATCTGCATCTCGGAGCACGGCATAGCAGTCGTCGTAGTACTTGGACATCGTGGAGACAAAGCGCTGGAGCTGGAACACGATGTCTTGCACTGTAGAAGAGACAAGTTGGGAACAAATCAGGCAAAAAAAAATCCTTCAAAAGCAGAGCATAAAGCCTGTGACCAAGCCTCCCTCACCAATATTAATTACAGTCTCCTACACATTAATCCCTTTTGGCCCCTGAGGGCGGATTTCTTGGGCACAGCCACAGAAGGGTTCTTCAGCAAACACTCTGAAGGGCTGAGACGAAGGAGGAGCACAAAGACCATAGCCGTGTCTGCCTGAGCCCTTCAGGTGCTGGATGCAGCAGTGGTACTCACCATGTTTCTGGTCCAGGAGCTCTATTTTCTCTAGCACGTCCTTCCTCATCTTGGCAAAGCGTGTGCGAGCCTCCTGCCGGCAACGCAGGATAAGGCGGTATTCATAGTTCCCGGTGCTGACCCGGTAGAGGGGTTCGCCCAGAGCCTGCCAAAAACACGGGGCCATTTTAGACTCCCACAATGACCTTGGGTTACTGCAGCCCCCTCAAGCTCACCGGAACCGTGGTCAGAAAGCATAAAAGATTAGGAACACTGAGCCACAGCAACAAACTGGCAGTCAACGGGGCCGTTTTGAAGGCCAAATACATGCCAACTGTGGTAAAGAAAAGCAGCATTACTAAGCAAAGACAGAAGGACAGACACCCTTCAACCTAGCATGGAGAAGGCTTCTTATCTGAACTATCCAGGCAGGCACTACGAACAAACAAGTCTAGGGTGTGAAGAATATATTAATTTATACCAATTGCACAAAACATTGTGCCCTCCTCTGCAAGCTTTACCCTATTATGATTGCCTGACACATTATACATCTACACAGGGAACCCTGTGATATCTACAACCATCCAGACCTAACACTGGAAACCAGCAGGGATGGACCTTATACATTGTCCTACAAAAGAGTTTTGAGAGAAAGGGGTTAGGTCTGTCAGCAAAACAGCATTCTCCTCTTGCACCTGTAAATGTAGCATATCTAAAAATCCCGTGTTACTATGACTTGGCAGACTGTATGTGCCATAATCCAACTCTGTCAGGCAAGACTGGGATACTTTCCTTAACATTTAGCAGGAAAGATATAATTTAATGTTGTGTTAGGAAAGTCTTTTTCCTTCCAAAAATCCAAATCCCTGCTCTGAGATCGATCCCTAGGATAAAACAAGACCTTATTTTTATGCAGGGAAACTGGGCACATAGGGAAACCTTTAGCTATCCTAAACAGTGCTGTTAAGCATTAGTCATAAAACTCTAAACCAGACAGCAAATTGTTACTAGAGAACATTGTCAGGTGGTTGGTTTTTTTTAAGTCTTTTGATTTTAAATTACCTATTTTTGGGAAAAACCCTACTGTTAAGAGAGATCCTTTAACCAGTTTTCCTCAACTACAAATGCAGCTTTCACATGCGTTCTGCTGGAGAAGCTAAACCTCCATTTCTCAGAAACAAGTCCAGAATTACTGCTAAGCTGTACACTCCACACAAATGGCATCTGTGAAGATAACACCTTAATCCTCCTTACACAAGCTAATATGACTTAAACACTGAGACAGGCAACCACCGAGTAAACAAGCCACAGGGGAGATGTCTGGTCCCTCTACTGTTCCACAGCACCAGCGCCTCATGACAGTTATTGGCAGCATTTCCTAAGTAGCATTCAAGGATCTCCAATTTCTAATATATTAAGGACAAATGTGTGTAATTTGTAGGATGTAGTTTGGATGCAGACAGGCACAGGAGCAGTTTTGCAATTAGAAGGCAGTGTGCACAGGGGAGCTGCAGAAGCAGAGTATGCAATTGTCATTGCCACAGGGCTGGTACTCACAATGCAGCTGTACTCTTCATCATCCATCTCTTTGACTTTCAGGCAGTAAGACTTCGTAGGATTATGAAAAGAAAAAAGGCAAAAAGCAAAAGAATAAGAAAATATTAAGAATTAGAAGCAATTTCATTATCACTCATAGCCATAGGGTTGTACCATTTCAAACCTCCCATGGATGCTGCAGCTAGGGACACTGGGGAAAGCACAGTGGGATCAGATTATATTAAACATCCCAGGTGGAAAGAAAATCTATTTAGAGAAAGATGGGAAGAGAAAACGGTGGGGGAGAGACAAGGCACTTAATATTTATATTACAGGAGCAAATACTTTAGATAAACATAATCTAAGAGAAAAAACCTACATTCATCTACTCTTTGGGAAAATACAGCACCAGAAAAGTATGAGGAGGGACTAATTAAAGAGGGGGAAAAACAAGATAAATTGTGGGAAGGACTGATTGTGGGAAGAGATGCTGCCATATTCACTTGCCCCAGGGCTGCAGCTCCAAATACTTCTCTAAACTGGTAAGAGGAAAAAGATTCCTACAGTTACAGACCAGATGCACTTAACAACCATACCCTGGTTTTTAGGGTGTAGAAAACAACGGGTGAGTAGAATGGGGAGGGAGGGGAAAAGAAGCATGGTCTAAATGAAAACAAACATGATTTAACAATGATTTAATACGTCTAAAGAAGGACTATCCAAAACTACCTGAAAAATATGGACTCTGAGGCTGGTGAGCTATTTAGGGAAGTTCAAGAGCATAAGTTGCATAGGAACTCTTTACAAATAAATAAAGAAATTAATTTGGACATGTAGAAGATAAGTCATCTTGGTTCTGGGAGATCTCTCTTACCAGTGAGAGCTACTGGGTCAAAAGCAGGTGTCTGAATCTGACTAATCTGGCAACAGACAAAGCACTGGAAAAAATAATGCATTCTTGCATGGATTGTGGAAGGATGGACATGTGGCAGTACAGGATATAATTCTAGGAAACTCAATTTCAACCAACACTAAAAACACAAACAAACAAACAAAAAAAGCAGCTCACCAAATATTCAAACTTGACATCCAGGTATTTTTTGATAGTCAGCCTTGTGTCAGGAATGGCTTTATTCAGATATGTATTCAAGTCAGTAAGCATCTGCAAGGGGAACATCCTGTTGCTAAATCTAAGACCAAAAAGCATGACTACAATTCATCAAGTGCAACCTTCTAACCAGCACAGGTCATGAGACTGCCTCGAGTTAAGTCTTTTCGACTAGAGCGTATCTGAAAGAAAATAATTGATTTTGCCTCAGAATTGCCACAGAGCGAGCATCCAATACTGTCCCTGGCAAGTGGCTCCAGCGTTAGAAATGCATGCCTCACTTCTAGTCTGAATTTGTGCTCTTTCAAAGAATCTTGTTTCATTCTCAACTAGTTCTGGAAACTGCTCTCCCTGGTTCAGAGGCCCACTGTCCAACACTGTCAATCCAACATCGCACATAAAGTGGTGCCCAAATCAACATTTAATACTCTCTTTGCTAAACTACATGGACAGATTCCCTGGAGACTCTCGCTCAAATATAATGATTGAATCCTTAAAGTGTCCCTGGATTGCTTACCTGAACTCTTTTAAATTTAGTGACATCTTTTAATTATGAGTACTAATATCAGGGAAAAGGCTCTAGGGACTACACTGATCAAACTACCCCATCATCCCCAAAGGAGAAGGAGAGTAATACATTCATGTGCAAAAGTCAAAGCTTGATATATTTCTTATGTTACCTCTTAGGTTCCTTCTGAAGGGAGTTCCCCCAAGGAAAGCAGACAACGACAGTTCTTCCCAGAATGAATGATTTATAAGACCACACTTTCAAACACACACTTCTGTCTTTCTAGATTCCCCTTTTCTCCAGACCCCTTATTCCTATGGTTAAATTCTTTACCGGCTTAATTGTTTTCAGAAGGTGAATCCCAAACTTCTCAATGTTGCGATGGGCATCAGCAAATTTCACAAAGGCTTCACTGGCAGCTGGCTGAGGCTCCCGTACACCAATGACAGAGAAAACATCTCCAAATGCTGGATGAAGGTAATAAATACAAACAGATGAAAGAAGAGGTTGACCCTGGAGAAGAATCTTGCCTCCAATATTACAACTCCTTCCCATAACCTCGCAATTAGCTGGGGAATGATGCTACATATTCCCTAAAGGGCAGAAGTTGGCAGGGAGACATTTTTTCAATGTCTCATGTGGAAGACAAGGCCCGTGTTAGCACCATGACCACTAATGGCAGGAGAGCAGCCCATCCCAACTTATTTCTGGAACACTTAGTTTTCTTTGAGTGAGGGAATCGTGCACCTAAGTACTGACTAAAACTCCTGTAACTGGAGGTCAAAGATTTCTGCTCCCTTCACCCAAGGTTCTTTACCTCTGTGTGTCTGGGATAGCTCAAAGAAAGCCCTGAGAAGACTCTTGGTGTGCTCTGTCAAGCCTGTGGTGGAAGACAGAAGAAACGTTTAAGTCGTTTCACCAAAACATAATGGAAGCATCCTTCTCTCCCATCTGGTGTCTGATGGAAGACGGTTTACCTTTGTATAACTCTGCAGTCCTCTCCAGCTCCTCTAATCTCTTCACTAGTCCATCTAAATGGAAAAAAAAAAAAAGAATCAGAATACAGAACTACAACAGTCAAATTCAGGACATAGTTAAAACTTTATCAACTGGAAGAGCACCAGTTTCATATGTTTGGTTCAAATTTTTCTCACCTCTAAAGCGTGTCCCCTGATCCAACATGGGGAGTTTTTAAAATAACTGCCAACTAGTTTTACAGTGTGGTGCCATCACCTATCAGCATTCACTGAGTCTCCACTTTAAATTAAATTGACCTTAGCTAATATTTAATGGCCCCAATAACAGGATATATCACTCAGGAAGGGCAGACACAATCAAAACAGTGAGTTATAGCATTAGGAAAGAATTATGAATGAATAATGTGGAACATGCAGGTGACTATAAAACATTGGTAAGAACAAGAAGGTAAGTGCTGCCTTAAGAAAATGTCCTCCTGGATAACACTTACCGTTGCAAAGTATGGCTCGGCTTAACCCCAGGGCATCTGCTGTTCCTGAGCTCATGTTCTCTACCAGTCGATGCTTTACCTTCTTCAATACTAAAGGCCAAAAGAGAGTTGCAAACCAGGATCAGAGTCATTTCTATGGGCATGAAAAGCACACCAGAACACTTCACCACTTTCTCAGGCATTAAATAAACTGGCCAGTCTGAACTTAACTCACTACTGAGGTACTGAGCAGAAAAATACCACAGACACTAGATGTTCCACCTAGATGTGCAGAGCACATCTTTTATCATCTGCCTGTTCTGCTTTCACATGCTATACACTTGAATCAACAGAGCTCCAGCACTTCTTTTGGAAGACTATTCCAATGAAACACTTTGCTATAAGCTACCTATCATGATATTTGGAACTAAACTTTGCTTACGCTAGTTGCTATATTACTTCAACTGCAGTCAGGAGACGAAGCTAAAAGCAAGACGAATAGGATTTAACGCTCAAAGTTATCCCTCTTCTTACTTTTATCTTTTGGATCATAGTTAAATCCTTTTGTCACTCCTTGATGGAATTAATTTCTGTCTTTGGTGGTCATACCCTGCAAATTACTAGAGACAATTATGCCCTCTTTGGAATGAGATGAATCAGCTACACTTCTTTAGAGGCAAATTGCAGGGGTTCCAAGTGCCTGCAGCTCTGAAGAACTCAGCTGGAGCCACAGTGTTTTGCATTTCTGGAAAACATCATATTCTCACCACACTTCTGTTTCCCCAGAAATCCACCTCATTTTCCTGAACCCCTGTCAATTCATTAGCACCTTAATCACCATGAAAAGCAATGAAAGCAAAAAGGACAGATTTTTTTAGGAAAGTGAGATAGTTAGACCATATAATGGAGACAGCTGCATAGGCTTAATTCAAAACACACACTTTGTTTTAGAAATAAAGCCTCCCCTCTCTCCTATAAAATTTATGGCTGTACAAAACTGAGTGTAGATACGATTTCATCACTGTTCTACAAGCTGAGAAACTGCAACCAGTGTTTTACAATAGATACATTTCTGTGTATAGTTGAAATTCTCAACAAGTCAGCACAATTTACATGTATTCAAAATAAATACATTAAATTATTATCTAGTTGAGTTTCATCATCCACGCTAAACACAGCACAGAAAAACAAGCCTCCCACAATAGCAGTCAAGCCTCAATTTAACTTTCAAGACTATTTCAAGAAGTCAGGGAAGGGTTTTTTTAAACCTGGAATTCTCTTTGACAGTACCCATATGAAAATGGCTGAGTTAAGATGAAGAACCATATCAGAATTTTACTTCCGTTTTAGCTGGGACCAATCTTTCACCTCTCTGTGTCACTATAACATTCTAGGGAGAAGGAAACCAGTCTTACCAATATCCAAAGACTTGCCCTGCTTTGGGTCGGCCTGAAGCTTGTTGTAGTGAATTGTTACTTCTCCCTGTAGAAAGAGCAAATCCAAAACTGCCGTGCTGGAAGCAAGTAGCAGTGGCTTCCTTTACCAGTGGACAATAAAACTGTGCATTATGACCCAGAAGCTCCAGTGGTCCCCTCCTACCTCTCACCTTTACCATCTGTATCATCTTGGCCACCTCCACCTTCGTCTTCCCTTTGACGGACTTCCCATTCACACCTGTGATTTCATCACCGGCCGCTACGGTGCCATCTAAGGCTGCTGGAGTGTTATCAAATACCTAGAGGAGAGGAGAAAGAGCACAGCTATTCTGGAATCAGGAGGAAGAGGAAGGCGAATGCAAGGCTGAAGAACAAAAAAGGGACAATTAAATTCCTCCTGTTTAACTCAGTTGTATTTTGTTCATGGTTTTTCTCCTTTCCTAACTAAGAAGTAGGCTGATCACCTTGTTCTCTCAGGAAGTTCTTGCCTGCAGGACATACCTCCTCAAGCTTAGGACTTCTTGATGTTGAGAATGTCACACCGCTCCCCTGTGAATTCTAACATCCTCTCCAAGGAGAAGGATAATTTCAGAAGTCTTAATTTAATTCTTCCACATCTATTAGGTACTACGGTAAGGAAATCTTATTCACTGGAAAGGGAAATGGTATCTCCAGCTTTGAGAAATACAAATAGCACAGGACTCTCCATTCTTTCCATCTCTCAGGCCAACACCGTTTTACAAAGATGCTTGATTCTTCGTCCCCGAGTGCCCACCTGGACAATGTAGAGGCAGGGGCAGTACTGTGCTCCTCCCCCAATGCTGATCCCAATCAGGTTCTGAGAGTCCTTCTTCAGGGTCACTGTCCCAGGTACAGTGGGGATCCCCCTAAATGAGAAAGGGTAGATGAATAACTGAACACGGTAGGCAAAGCTGCGTGTATGAAACAGCTCCGGTACCTGAGTCGATGCAAACTGGAAACATAATGGGCACTGCACATTTGAATTACAGAATCACAGAATGGCAGGGGTTGGAAGGGACCTTTGGAGATCATCTAGTTCCAAACCCTCTGCCAAAGCAAGGTCACCCAGAACAGGTTTGACAGGAACGCATCCAGGTGGGTTTTGAATGTCTCCAGAGGAGGAGACGCCACAGCCTCTCTGGGCAGCCTGTTCCAGTGCTCACTCTCAAAGTAAGTTTTTCCTAATGTTCAGACAGAATTTCATGTGTTCCCATTTGTGCCTGTTGGCCCTTGTCCTGCCACCAGTCTCCACTGAAAAGAGTCTGTCCCCATCCTCTTCACACCTGCCCTTTAGATATTTCCAAGCACTGATAAGATCCCCTCTGTCCTCTCCGGGATAAACAGACCCAAGTCTCTTAGCCTTTCCTCAAGAGAGAGATGCTCCAGTCCCTTGAATTCATCACATCATCTCTACCAGAGTCTATCAGCATGGGCCAGCAGAAAGACCTTCTGGGCTATTTTTTTGGGACTGCATGCAAGGATTAGAGGTGGGAGAGACACCCTCATCCATCACTAGGCACTGAGGAAACACTACTATGCTTTAGAGAGTGTTTCATCTGCTCTTAGTGCTGGAGCGAGAGGAAAACTTGCACAGTGTAAATTAAATGCAAGACAAGTGCTCCACGTCAAATTCATTGCTAATCTCATCTAACCTTTTACTTGCTCAGGAAATGTAAGTGCTCTCTCCTCCTTTCAGACCTAAGGAGTCCAGAATTTGTCTCCACTTCTTCCCGCCTCTTATTATCTTTCCTACATTGTAAATATTTTTTTCTCTAGCTAAGGCCACTAATTTACAAAAGATTTGTTGGCGCTGCTTTGCACTCAGAAACGCAAGGTAGTCGTTGCAGAGTAAACAGAAAGTGTTTTCCTTTGCTCACCAGCACAGCAATGCCTCATCCCCAGTCCCCAGAGGGAGCAAGAAATCAGGACTGAACAGCAAGTCTGACTTTTCAGCACCCAGTGTCAGGAGGAGGTAAATTTATCCACTCCCATTAGGTCTTGGCTGCAAAGACTATTTCTATTGTTAGCAAAAACAGGAAAAGACTAGCAGAATACTCACAGTTTATCTTCCTCAATATCATAATCCAAATCTGCAAACATTGTTTTAGTTAAGTGGAGCCTGTTCACCAGAAACGGCTTATTCCTAACTCCCTGGGAAGAAAGAATAAAACCCAATCAACCAGCGATCTTGATAGAAAACTGCAGAGAATCAACCCATCACCCTTGTCAATCCCCCCTCTTCTCCTTTTTTTTTTTTTTGAAAGTCACATTGTGGTCTCTGTTCCTATATCAAAAACTAAAAACATGTCATGTCTCTGATTCTCTGCTCTGAAGGAGACAGGAGAAAGTTGTCAAGTTTGAATGCTGCGTGTTTGAAAACCCACAGGTGTGCAGTTTTTTCCAAGCACAGAACAAAACATGTTGGAAGCTGCTTCTTTACACGCTCCCCCTGCCCAGAGCCACAGCTGCTACAGATATTTAGTTTCAACCCCTGTATCTGTTAAACATCTCCATTTTGTTCTTGACTTCATAGCAATTTATGACACTTTTTGACGTTCATCGCTCATCTAAAGGCTACACAAAGCTTTTTGCAACCAATTTTCACCCAAAAAAGCCTCATTATTACCCCACGCACAAACCCTCCTGTTTAATTTTCTGTTCCATTTGGGACAGCAATTAGCAGGCTCGGGTTGGCTTCCCTCCTGCTTGGGCAGCACCAAAGGCCTGGTGACGCTGCCCCGGGGCGTTCACCGCCACATCCAACCCCACCGGCCGCCCAGGGGCCAGGGCATCGCCGGCAGCTGGCCACGTCGCCTCCCCTCCCGGCAGCGGCCTCGCACGTCGGGCCCGGCCCTTTGCCGCTGCGCCCTGCCGGCGGGGCCGCCATCCCCCCGCCCTCTCACCGGGGCTGGGCCGCGGGGCTCGGGCCCAGCATGGGGGGCTCGGCCCTGGGCCCTGAGGGAGGGGTCTCCCGGTGGCCCGAGGCCCGCGGACCCAGGGGACGGTGTCACCGGGCACCGGCCCGGCCGTTTGGGGGGGCGGGTCGCCATGACAGGCCCCTGAGGGGAGAAGGCAATTGGAGGGGGGGGGAGTGTCTCATGCTCACCGGAAGCGGCCGCCCGGCACGCGGCCCCCGCCCGCCACCCGGCGCTGTCAGCCCGCCGACACGTCACCGCCGGGGCCAACCCGGAAGCAGCCCGGCGGAGGCCCCGCCCCCTCCGCTCGCGCCGCGTTGCCTTGGGGACGGAGACAGAGGGGGGCGGGGCCAGCTCGCTGCTGTCCGCCATCTCGAGAGCGGGGTGGCGGCCGCGGTGGAGTTTCGGCCCCGAGCCCGGGCTCCCTTCCGCTTGAGAACCGACTTTCCGTTCAGTAATTTCACTTCTGAGCTAAGCCTCTTCTAAATCCCTGAAGTTTACAGCATATTGTTCAGAAATCGTTCTCAGAGTGATAAGACTTGTGTCTAGTTAATGCCAAGGAATGGTATGCAGAGGGGCTCTTGCTTATAACAACCAAGCTCTTACACTGTAACAACCAAGGTCAGATAACTTCATTATTTGCCCCGTTAGAGGGTTGGAAATGGAAACGCCTAGAGGGGCTGCACCTGCAGGAGGAACAGACAGGACAGGTGACCCAAATCAGACCAAGGAGGTGTTCCATCCCATCTGCCCCACATTCACTATAAAATCTGAGGGATCAAAGGGTCAGGCCTCTTTCTTCAATGGCTGACGTTTGAGGGCTCTGTCTGTTTGTCTGCCTTTGACCCTGATCTGTGTGTTCCTGACTCTGGGTCTGGAATCCAGTTCCCATTCATCACAGAGTCCAGTCTGGGACTTCCCCAGTGCTTGCCAGTGACATCATCCTGGGAGCCTGATTTGGTTTTGTGTATATTGTATCTATTTCATTATTTCCTATTTATTTTATTATTAATATTTAATTAAAGTAGTTTATTTCCTTCTAAATGCTTAAATCTTTTTCTCTCTCCTCCTCTCTTCTTTGGAGTGAGAGGGGGGGGAGAGCATCTTTCATCAGTCATGGGCCAGTCTGGCCCAAACCATGACATCCATTCACTGCTGGGGCAGCCAGAGGCAGAGCCTTTGGGCTCAGTAAGTTGCAGAAGGGGAGCTGTAGTGGTGGCAGCGGCAGAAGGAGAGGATGGGAACCACTGAGCTGCACAGGTTTCACAGCACAGGTAAAACAGCAGCACCATGGCTGTCCTGCCATGTTGTTATTAGTGGATCGTGGTGAGCTATCAGCTCTTCAGACACCCAAAGCTTGCCCACCTCGAGGAAAATATGCTGTCTTGCACTTGTCACTTCAAAAAAGTGACAAAGGTGATGTACCCTGTAAAAATATACGCAGTGCCGGCCTCCCACGGCAGGGAACGTTTCAGAAAGACGTTTGTGAATGTGAACACGTCCCCAGACTGATGATTCAGATGACAGCGGGGACACAAAGAGCTTTGAAACTGGTTGGCACAATCGCCCCTACTGCTGGCAGGCCAGTGGTGACCTGTGGAAGCAGTGATTTGGAAGCCAGTCAGCACAGCTGTGTGCAAAACCACCGGGCTGCCATGTGCATGGCAGGATCGCCAAGCTTCCGCGTGTTTTTCTCCTCTGCGCTGTGTGCGCGGGGGGGTAGTGGTTAGGTGTTCAAATGAATTTTCTGCCTCCATCAAGACAGCCCCATCACTGGGAGAAGAATGCTTTGATTTCCCAGAAGAATGTGGTCACCTGTTGTATTATGTGTCATCTCCTCCAGCCACTGCTGGCTTCTGAGCAATTACTAAGCTGTGAAACTTGACTTGCTGACGCAGATCAAAAATAAAAATAAAATTGCGCTCTTTGAACTGAAAACTCCTCCGTGACCAGGAACGGGGCTGATGACGATGACCTCTCTTGCTGGCTGAGAGGGCGGTTAGTGTTTGCAGTGTGCAGCCCTGGGAGCCTCTCGACTGCAAACATCAAAACACCGACTGAAGCCACCCACTCTGCTGGAGTACAAGGGCAAGAGCATGCTGTTAATAATCACTTTGAAGTCCTGGGCCTAAGAGGTGATTTATTTATGAAGGGAAGCTGAATGAGAAACGCAGTCCTTCAGGTGGGAGCTCTCTGAAGAGAAGAGACTGACATCCTGACCCTGGTCGCTGACAGGAGTTTTACACCAGCAAAGCGCTAGGATTGATGAGCTGGGCCCTGATCTCTGCACGTGAGGAGCTCGCTGGGGCTCAGCGGTAAAATGGCGCTTGACTGCGGCGGAGGATGATGCAGAGAAGACAGAGCCAGGCTCTTCCCAGGGCTTTTGCGCAGCGAAAGAACAAGAGGGGAGGGTCACAAGCTGCAGCGTGGAAATTCCAGTTAGATAAAAGGGAAAATAAAATTACTAGAAGGGTGGGTAAGCACTGTTGCAGCAGCCCAGAGAGGTGGTGGAATATCCATCTTTTTAAAATACTTACTTTGAAATGCATTGGGTTTTGGTTTTGTTGTTTGTTTTTTTTTTAAATCTGTCCCCTCCTCAGAGTATATAGAATCATAGGATGGTTAGAGTTGGAAGGGACCTTAAAGATAATTGAGTTCCAACCCCCCTGTCGTGGGCAGGGACACCTCCCACCAGACCAGGTTGCTCAAAGCCCCATCCAGCCTGGCCTTGAACACCTCCAGGGATGGGGCATCCACATCATCTCTGGGCAACCTGTTCCAGTGCCTCCCCACCCTCACAGTAAAGCATTTCTTCCTAATATCTAATCTAAATCTCCCCTCTTTCAATTTAAAACCATTATTCCTCATCCTACCACTCCACTCCCTGATAAAGAGTCCCTCCCCATCTCTCCTGTAAGCCCCCTTCAGGTGCTGGAAGGCTGCTATAAGGTCTCCCTGGAGACTGCTCTTCTTCAGGCTGAACAACCCAACTCTCTCAGCCTGTCTTCACAGGAGAGATGCTCCATCCCTCTGATCATCTTCGTGGCCCTCCTCTGGACCCGTTCCAACAGGTCCATGTCCTTCCTGTGTTGGGGGCTCCAGAGCTGGAGGCAGTACTCCAGGTGGGGTCTCACCAGAGCAGAGTAGAGGGGCAGAATCACCTCCGTTGACCTGCTGGCCACGCTTCTCTTGATGCAGCCCAGGATGTGGTTGGTTTTCTGGGCTGCCAGTGCTCACTGCTGGCTCATGTCAAGCTTCTCATCCACAAGCACTCCCAAGTCCTCCTCCTCAGGGCTGCTCTTCAGCCATTCTCCACCCAACCTGTATTTGTGTCTATAACTTTGCTATTGACAGCTGGGGGTTAATGTATTTGCAATAGAGTTACATTGCAGTGGGCTTTGCAGGCTCACCCTTGAGGAGGTGGCCACCAGGCCAGCCAGCTGGGCTTCATTTGTAAGGGGGGAGCTCCACCGTGTGGGAGCTGCTGAGAATTTCTGCTGCAGGAAGGGGGACCTGGATTCCGGCGTACTGGGTTTGCAACGGTGGGATATTTCTTCTCCTTTGCTGCAAGCGGTGGTGGTGGTGGGGAAGTTTCCCGCACACCTAGGAGAACACCTGAGCTACGTAAATCATTTGGTTGTGCCCAAGAGGATTGCTCAGAGCCTTGTGCATCGCTGGGCAACAAACTGGTTAAAAGAAGTCCCGGGACCCCATTTCTAGATCCTCTCCTGCTGCTGCAGCTGCAAGGGGGAAAAACAACAGGCGGTGAATTTCTCCTTTTGTGGCAGCTCCTACCATTAGAAAGAAAGACAAGAGGCAGAACTGAGGTGAAAAAACAGACCTGCTGACACCGACAAGGCCCATACCTGTAGGTCTGATGTGCCTTGCTTTTGTGCTGCTCCACTGATGTGTGCACATCATGCACGTCCTTCAGTGTGTCCCTTTGTAACGCATGTGCTGAATGACCCTGCCTTTTGTGCACAGTCACTCCAACGTGCCCAAGATCGATGGGATTCTCTCTGTGTGAGATGGAGACTGAATCTGTGCCCTAAATGTGCCCTAGAGCCACGTCTGTCTCAATATTAGAAATCCAGCCCACCCCCACCTCCCAAGGGAAAAAGTAATGAATTACTGATGAAAATGGTTGTCTAAAATCCAAAAAAATAAGGCTAGCCAACTTGTAAAAAAATCACAGGAAGCTGTTCATTTTTAAGAATGGGTCTGATTAATGGTTGTATCAAAAATTTGAAATGCAGCTTTACCCTGAGAAGTGGGCTCACCGCTTATGGCCTTCCATTGTGGCTTGGATCAAGAGGGCTCAGCTTGCAAGTGCAGACATTTTTCCACCCTTAAATAGAAAACCTATGAAAAGTCAGCCCAGGCTCTGAGGGTGAAACTCCCTCCTGCTTGTCTTTCACCGCCAGTAATAAGGAGTCTGCGAGCAGATCACACGTTGCATGACTAGTTGGCCTGTTGGCACTTAGATGCGTTCCTCCGTACTGGGTCTGTGCTGAATCTCCTGTTTCTGGCTGCTTTTCCGCTACTATTGTCAGTGTCAACACAATTAACGCTGAGCTAACGTCCTCACCGATTGCTGTCCCTCGAGCCATGTTGTCTAGTTTTTTGGGGAACTTTCAGTGGGTAAATGTGGAGACTGTGTTCCCTGCCCACCACTCCACAGCTTGCCCGCCCTGTCCCTGCCCCACATCTCCACTTCTGCTGGGCGCTCCAGACCCCAGCGGGGACCTCTACATGGTGCAGGTGGGAGATGAAGGTGGTGGTGGTCCCCCATTGAAGTGGAATAGGAGACAGTTGTACTCAGGAGTGGTTTATCACACACCAGGGTGGGTGTTTGCTGTTAGCGCTTGCATCCTGGGGCTACCAACTCAGAGAGGAAGGGGTGAAAAGCATTGAGATGTGGCTGCAAATTACCAGACTGCTTATTTCCCAACCTGTACATCTTATCGCTGCTGCATTCAAACTCCTCCCAGAATGAGATGTGCCTTCAGTTCGTTCCACTGACAAGCTGGAGATACCTCTCCCCGGCGGGGCAGCAAGCTCTGAGTGCTTACCCCTTAGGGTTTCAGCAGAATACAATACTGTCATCCTTCAGAGTTCTGGCTGACTTGATCTGAGTGGTGAAACTTCACATTTTGGGGATGAAAAGCAGTGGGTTTGTGCATTGATTAAATTATCTCTCTATCTCTATCTATCTATCTATCTATCTATTTATTTTTCTGGGTATTTTAATTGTCCTTCCTCTGAGGTTTCCTGAATTTTGG